ATATGTAATTTAATTGAATAATGACAGGAATTGAACAGGCTAATACAATTTAGACTAAAACAGGATATAATTTATGGTTCCTAACATAAAAAAACATTAACATCTTTAGCCTGATGCTGTGCCACACTACAGGGAATATTTCTGCCTATTTAATATAGAATGTTGGTTTAGACTTAGAGAAAATATTTTTGTTCAAAGCTTTATTTTAATTTAGGCAAGAACCAGGCAATACTGAATTAAACAGATCTGAAATGCCAACACTTTTCATCCTGTCTCTTCTTGGCAAGCATTGAGAAATCATGAAAAAGAAATCTATTATGAAGCAAATAATGGGAAGATAAATTTTGTTGTTTCTTGTACACTTGCAAACCATGAGTCAAGACTGTTGGTTTTAGTGCCATTTCTGTTTAGTAAGATTTTAAAATGGGCTCATTTAAAAATTATATGTTTTATCTCTTTAAACCTATAATATACAGTGAGCATTGAGCATCTGGCAGATCCAACAGGTAGCTTCTGGCTGTACCCCAGATAATCTTGCATTAACTTAGTCCTGGCACAGTTACTGATCTCACTGCTTCATAGCTCTTGGTGGTGATAAATTTTCAGGTTTGCTTCTGGTGTTTAACCTTCTGCACCTCTGTCAGGGAAACTATAAATTCTGTAGCACAAATATCAATAAATGTTACTGCCTGCAGTTCATGTAAGACAAAGTTCTGTGAGCAAAATACCCTGGGGCAAGTTTTTAATCTACTTATACAGTGGTTTATAGAGACAAGCATGTTTACCTCTGGCTATTCTTGCTGTTTCACAGATAACAAATGTATGTGTTAAAAGGAATGTATTTTAAATCTCATTGAATATATCACACATATTTAATGTCATTGGAAAGAAACCTGTAGTACCTCATACCAAACTACTGTGTCTCAAAAATAACTGCTTTCTGCAAGTGATTTCAGTGCCAACCAAAAGTTCAAGGAGATTGTCTGACCTTTCAGGAGCTGCAGGACAGGAATTCACAGGAGATAGATGCAGACACAGTATTAGAGGTGCAGAGGATTGGCAGATTTACAGGAGGCAGCCTATCATGGCAGTGCCTGGTTTTATTCAAAGTACCTGCACAGGAGAGTTGAGGAATATGCTTCATCAGCACAGGGGGTAATGTTCTGTCCCAGTGTTCATGTCTTGACTATCAAACCTGCAAACCACCAGGGGAGGCAGTGATTGAAATGCCAGCAATGAAGAAGCAATCCTATTTCATATATATCTCCAAAATGAAAGTCTGAGGAATGAAATAAGATGTTGCTTTTAGAAAGATGGTTTCATGTGATACAATATTTACATCTCTTTTGGAGGACTTTAATTATTTTGCATGTAGAAACTTCTTCCTGCTTGTAGTAGAAAGTATTTCTTCAAAATGTAATATGTGTGCTCCTTTTTACTGTGCTCTTGATGCAGTAGTGAGTGGGTGGTTTGGGTCACTTAAAGAATCCCCATCAAAAGCATTGGCAAAACAGGGTTTAATATAAATTTGTGAATGTCATAGAGTCCTAGAATGGGTTGGGTTGTGTTGGGGGGAGAGGTCACCTTGTTCCAGCCCCTGCCATAGGGGCTTTTCCCCTAGACCAGACTGCTCAGAGATCCATCCAGCCTGGCCCTGAGTGCTGCCAGGGATGGGGATCCTCCCTCAGCCTCCTGGCCACGCTGCTCAGATGCAGCCCAGGGCAGGGTTGGCTTTCTGGGCTGCAGATTCACATTGGCAGCTCATGCTGTGCTTCTCATCCATCAACAGCCCCGAGTCCTCCTCCTCCTCAGAGCTGCTCTCACTGCATTTTTGGTAGCAAGCTGTATATGGACAGAAAATGTAAATTGTCTTATGTTGCAGGTCACAAACTGCAGTGTGTGCTAAAGTTGGTTCATTTGTTTTTCCCCTTTTTACCTCCTATCAATTCAAGAACAAATTGTGAAAGACACAGTAAGGGCAAGAAGGTGCTTTGAGCCAGCTAAATCAAGGATTAAAATTTTGGGGTTTTCAGGTAAACAGTGCCTTTGGGAAAGAAGATGAAAGGAAGACTAAAGCTTACGGTAAAAACAAAAGAGAATAAATTACTTGAGGCCAGTTGTGAAGAAAAGAGAAATATCAAGAAGCAAAACTGAAAGTGATGAAAAAGAACAGAGGGCAGAGAATATATCAGCTTCTGTAAATCCCTTTTTTTTTTGTGGTATTCATAAAATTAAGATTCTTTACTTTAGGACATTCTGAAGGCAGGTGAATGGTTGTATCTACATTTAAGAAACATAAAGGAAAAAATGTTCACAAATAATCTGAGAATACTAATAATTTTCTTATAGGTCAAATTATACTCAACAGAGAACTAAAACCAACTTCCTTTTTAGTGGAAAGATAATTTAACCTATTAGTCCTTAAGTTTTGGGTTTTTTTTCTTTCAGTGTGGAAGGGCACTTTTTCTGGGCTCTCCCTTGCAAGGCATTGAGGGTGCTGAGATTTTCCTTCTGTGTGCATGTGTGAGGTGTGGTCTGTTGGGACTGCAAATGCAGACTCACTCTTGATATGCTCTGCATATTTATACTTAAAGTAGTTCCCAGAAATGGAGTAAAAGGGGGAGCCTTGTGTGGGTCCATGTGCAGAATGACATCTCACTTAGTGAGTTTTTATATCATTTAAGTCATTGCATCTAGTTTAGTTTTGTAGGATTTGTTTAGGACTGTGGTAACATTTACATAGGAAGTCCTATTAACATTTCTTCTGATACCACCATGTCATAATAAATCCATGGGCTTTGCTTTTAGTTCATGTATTAGTTTTTGGTGACTTTTGGAGCTTTGTAGCATTAATGCTCCTTGCTGATTTCTAGGAATATTTTATCTTGTTTATATGTTGTAACTAGAAAGGTGCAGAACATAATATTGTAGTTTTAAATCAGCATCAAGATGTCATAGCCCTTCAATATCTGGCCTTTCTCTATTTACTTCAGTGTAAGTTTTTGCCATTGGGTTGACTGTGTCTTGTACTCTTTCCTTATAGTTTCATGCTGCTCCTTCCAGCATGTCACACTGAGCTCTCACAGCAAATATATTGTTTGGTAGCTCTCTTTCTGAGGAAAATTTTAGTGTGGAAATTAGCCATACCTGACTTTATAAATAATGTATATCTAACTTCATCTACAGTGTTTCATAGCATAGTGTTGGGTCTCCATCAAAATCCACAACAGCCATTCTTTCAAAGGTGTTTATTTTTGTGTTTATTTTTACTGCTGCACCTGTGCCAGTGTTAGAAAAGATTGGTGTTAAAGATGAAGCCCACTGAACATGTTTTTTATTGTCTGTAAATATGGTAATTGATACTTTTGTGCCTCCTTTTCCCTGTCGTGGGTTCCAGCATGGTGTAAAGTTTACACTTTACCTCTGAAGTTGTGATAACAGAGTACCAGGTGTGTCCCACTCCATCAGTAGAAGGCTTTTTTTGGTATTTAGCTAAGAAGCATAAGGAAAGAGATTGGAAATTCTTCAATTCCTTTTATTAGGATCTTTGTGCTCTGCAAGAGGCAAGGTAGTTTCAAAAGACTTGCAGAGGATTTGATTTCCCCCTTTAGCTCCATGTCCAGATTAGGTAGTTCCTTGCCTGGGACATTAAAGAAGTGAGGAATGAAATAGTAAAATTGGGAAGACAACTGTGGCAGAGAACTCCAGTATTTGATATCATGTGGTGGCTGCCACTTTGAAATGCAACTCCTGAGCAGAATGTGAGGCACAGACCACAGAGATGAACAGGAATTCTAAGAGCCTGTTTCATGTCCCTCTTGTCTTTGCCAGTGACAAGAGGAAGAGGTTACCTTGGAAACACCAATAGAGGTTTCTTCATTAATGAATGCTGATATGGAGGAAGTGCTGCAAAAAATAGATAAACCTGGTGTATGTCACAGCCTTGTTGTCAGCTGTGATGCTTGGAAGAATCTGAAGCTGGCAACTGAAGTTTGTAACACAGCTTCTGTCCTTTGGTTAATACTGTGGAGGTTAGGGGTTTTATCCCAAAGCACTAGAAAAAAATAAACAGCTATTTATGATTTAAGGTTGTCAAAAATATTCCTAGCACAAGCACTGACAAAAGATAACATCTTGTGAGAACAGTCAAGGGCTGTAAACTGTGAGCACGCATATGGAAAAGAGATGCAACAGAATTTCCTACTAATTTCATGTAATACACTCGCTCCTGTTGAGTTATGGCAGTGTCAACACTGAATATTTAAGGTGGCCACACATCAGGCACACATTTGTTACTCTTACTGCTTATGCTGTTCCCTATATGTTGAGATTTGTCTGCCCTGACTGCACCACGTTTTTGTACATTTAAAGCAATAAAATGGTAATTAAACTGATGGAATCGGGTTAATGCTTGTTTTGACATATTTTGAGATGAGAAAAAAGGAGTAATTAACATCATGAGTAGTTGATATGGAGGATGCTGCTTAAATTTTAATTGTTGTTTAAAAACCAAGTATTTATGTATATCCAGAATTTTATTCACTCTTTTTTCCCCAGCTTGTAGGTGCTCATGATATGTGATATTCACAGATACTTTTCCTGTTTAAGATACCCATATCCCCATCAAAAGGATTTAAATTGTTTCAAGACTACATCTGTTTATAATAAAACATTTTTCAAATCTTACTTTTTAGTAATTCTTGGTAATAAAACCCATTAAATTTTCAGAGTGTGTGATGGAAGTGGGAGATAAATGGATTATTTTGAAATGGCTGGAGGAAAACATATAATAGCCATGTCTAGTTTTGATTTAGCTTTCACTTACAGTGCAAGACCAAGGATGCTGTCAGATTAAGTACCCTACTCTCTTTAAAATACATGAAATGTTGTCATCCATGTAATTGTGTGACAGGCTGGAAGTTCTTGAACATCTAAATTATATTTTTTCCTTGTTTGCCTCTTGAAGTGAGTAATAACAGGGTGCTTGGGGTTTTTTCCAGATAACCTTTTTCATGCTGCTCTCTGCAGTGTGTGTGATGCTGAACCTGGCCGGGTCCATTCTCTCCTGTCAGAATGCTCAGCTGGTGAAGTCCCTGGAAGGATGTCAGCTGGTGAGTGATGGAAAACACCTTTCTTACCAAGGGCAAGGACTCTGCTCTTCATCTGTTAGGGTTTTACACACACTCTTGTGCTGGTGTTCACTGGGGTCCCAGCATGAGGGAAGAGAGGAGCATCTTGACTACATGTTTCAGAAGGCTGATTTATTATTTTATTATATATACTGTATTAAAAGAAAATTATATATTAAAACTCTACTAAAAGAATAGAAGAAAGGATTTTATCAGAAGGCTAGCAAGGAATAGAAAAGAATGGAATGATAACAAATGCTTGTGACTCTCAGAGAGTCCGAGCCAGCTGACTGTGATTGGCCATTAATTAGAAACATCCAACATGGACCAATCACAGATGCACCTGTTGCATCCCACAGCAGCAGATAATTATTGTTTTTCTTTTGCTCTGAGGCTTCTCAGCCGAAAAATCCTGGCCAAGGGATTTTTCAGAAAATATGTCCGTGACACACTCCTTTAATTTCCAATACAATAGGTATTTAGGAGAGCAAGCTATATGTGTTACAACCTAAAAAAACATTTTGGGAAAAGTTTGATATAAAGTGCTAATGGATTTAGCCACCTCAAAAAGTAACTTTTAATATCATAAGGCTTGACTCCTTACTGTCATGGTTAAAGTGATGCTTCAGCAGAATAGGTGGAATTCAGGCCCCATCAGAGCAGGGTGGTGGTTGCCATTTGGTGTCAGCAGGATCAGGATTCCTTCCATCCAGTGCTTGTCCAGGCAGTGCATTTCACAACAGGAGTGTTTTGGTATGTGTATGCTAATATTTTGTTTGCCAACCTGAGTTGTTTTTCATTTCCGAAGTAAATGAAAGTTTCTTGTGTTAAATAAAATACAGAACAATACAAATTGTCATGATGTGGCATGCTCTAAATTATAAGTTACGATTTACTTAAAGCATTTGTGGTTTTATCTCAGGAAAAAAACCTATATACACATTGAATTCCAGCATGTTTTGTGGCTTCAGCTTGTGAAGATGTCTGCATAAGTCAACTCATGCCTGAAATGTTGGGTTTAAGTAAAAAGTGCTCAAACTGTAGTTTTGATTTTCAGAGCATGATGAAATGCTAAGTAGCTTTGCCACAGTGTGTTGTACTCTATAAGGGCAAATTAATTTAATTGTAGCTGTTTATCATATTATAACTGTTAAAAAAAAAAAAAGGCAAAAGTTTCTTTACCCAGACTTTGCTCTTTAGGTTTTCCTTGCTCAAAATCCCATTTCAGTCAGGCTGGGGACCTACACATGAATATATTGCATTGCCATGTTGCAGGGCTCATATATATGGAATTCTAGAGTTCTGTTCTCATAGGCCACCCTCGGGGAGGGATACACTGGAGTGAGCAGCACTGCTTTATGATTAAGCACAGGATTTGACTCAGAAGGTGGTGATGTATTATGCTGAGCATATTTAATTACTGTATTACCATTTTTCCCTCAAAAAGGAAAAATCCCAGTTTCTTAACAGCTTGTTCCAAGTGTATATTTAATTTTAATTCCTTGGATGACTCTCTTTAGTGCTGTAGATCTGTGTAATCCTGCACTCTGTGACTGGTGTACATTATCAAGTCTAAATCCTGTACTTGCCTCCTAGGATACAAATGTACTCTCTGAGGATGCAGCTCTAGGAGTCAAAATCCAGCCTTTGCAGACACATGGTTTGAAATGTACTTAACATCCCATATAACTAAACCAGTAAATTCCAAGCACAGTATACTAAAAAAGTCAAATTCAAACTAAATTCTGTTTTAGTTCTAGTCTTTCTGTCAAACTCATTCATGGTGAGTGCATGGCTTTAAAATGATAATAGTATCTACTGTATTATGGAGTTTAAATTCAGCAGTGCTTCACATGTAGTGTTGTTATTTGAAGGAAAAGAACAAGACTCAGTGGTCTTACTTTGCTTTAAACACTGGGGATTTATTGTGGATTCCATAATATGTATTTCTGTGTGAATATGAGAAATGTGCTTGCCATATGTTAGCATTTTGAATGTGTAATTTGTGAAGTTGGTATTTGTGCCCTTTATCCTGCAGCTTAGCAACATACAACACTGAGGGGAAAAAGGGGCAGTAGCTTTAACGCCTTTTTATGAAAAATTAATTGGAGTTTTTTTGGTTTTTTTCCATAATTAGCTGCAGATCCTGTGGCCAAAATCTCAAGATACTTCTTTAAATCAGTGAGAGTCAGATGTGCACAGAGAAGTTACACACCCAAGCTGTTCATTAATGTGCACAGGAGAAAAATTTCTGTATAGGAATTTCTTTTACAAATAATAGTTCTCTAAAAACTGTTCATTGAAAATATGGGTAGAGCAATTAATATATTTATATATATATATTATTAAATATGTTAATATATTTTAATTTATGTTCTATTATCACACAAGACAGAATATGTTTTATTTCTTCATCTATATTTGTTTTTATTGAGTTTACCTGTCTTGTAAGTCACTTATGCATTTAAAAATAAATGCTGTAGTTTTAATCAAATTTAGAGGTGATTATTATTCAGAAAAGTAGTGATAGTCAAGGTTACTTAGTGAAAGGTTACTTACTCTCTATTGAAAGGTTACTTTTTCTTTTTTTGGTTGTACAGCCGCAATTGGCCAGTGGTTACAGTAACACAGAAAGGAAGACCCTTCTTTCCCCTGAATTATCTTTAGCTGGAATAGACAAAGCAGGGAAAAGTGAAACAGGTGCAGGTTCACAGAGCTGAATGGCAGAGCCCAAGTCCAGAACTGAGGTTTATTTGTATCCCATTTTGCACTGGAGCTAAACTCAGGTCTGTGCATATCAAAAAACAATTTTTAAAATTCCAGGAAAAAGAATATACTCTGTTTTGTTCTTAGTAATTTGTCCGTTTTTCATCTTGATATTTCCCTACAATGCAACTTTATCCTTACTGGATTCTCCCATCTCTCCCTCTGCATAAGGTACTAGAATTGACTGAAGTTCTTTCCCCTGAGTACACCAGGGGAGCTTTCTTGTACTTCCCTGCCCTGTTACCAACTTTGGAACTCTCATACTGCATATTGAAATGTTTCCTTCCCTAAAAAACTTTTCAAGGTTAATTTAGAAGAAGTAAAATTTATTATTACTTTTACTGGAAGACTTCTGTTTGCATTAAGGAGGTGGTAGAATGCAAAGTGACAGTGTTAACTAACTCCTAATTTGCCCTGTTAGGGGGAGTGTGTGTGCCCTTAGCAGCCAAACAAGCAGTCAGGCTTCTTTCCAGCAGCATTGACAGAATTTGATTAATTGATAGAGATTAAAAAAAAACAAACATAAAGCCTGTGAGAATGTATGCATATATTTGTAATAAATCTGGAAGGTCCTTTCCTTTTTTGATTCTGGGCTGTGTGCAAGTCAGGTTTTAATGGGTTTTGTGGCTTTTGAATTAACAGTACTGCTTTTTGACAAAACAAAATGAACTTGCAAGACAATTTATGCATATAGGCAGCTCTGGCTGATGTTTGAATTCTTAAATATGGTTTGGATGAGGGTGTACTGTGCAACTGTCATAAATATGAAAGCACACAAAGTCTGCTGTGAGTACTGACTAGCATGAGTAAGAATCACGAAGTGGGACACAAACATGCACAGGATGGTGGGGAATGTGCAGGGGATGAAGTGAATGATGCTTTATTCTTGAGCTCTGCCAGCCAAAAAGAGATTGAAACACAGACAGTTTTGGAGGCACTGCTGGTGTAGTTGTGTCTGGGGTTGGCAAACACCAGCCCAGCAGCTGGAAGGAGCCATCCCAACCCCTTCTCCCTGTAGCAATGCAGATTTACTGTCACTGCTCCTGTCTCTGTTTGTGGCATCACACAGCAAATGGCCTCTGAGATGTGACTGGGGCTAACAATAATCCACTTCTCCTCCTGAAAAAAAAAGTTAATTTTGGCAGTGTTTATGTCACAGAATAGCTGCATGAACTCTTGGTCCTGTTGCACAAGTGTGAGTCTGCAGCAGGGCAGGGAAGGGCATTCTGGAGCAGGGCTCAGCAGAGCTTTCAGCTGCAGAAAAGCAGGGACCCATGCAGTTCACCCATGCAGTGACACCTACAGCCCTTGTCCTGCTCCCCATTGCAGGAACACAGCTCAGCAAAGGCCACTTCACAAACAAGGAGGGAAAAGGTGCACAACAAGGCAAGCTGATAAAAATTCTCCAAAAATAATATGCTTCCAATCTGGTAGTGAATCTTGGCTGGTTTTGAATATGCTGTGGTTCTTCAAAATCTGTGTTTTGCAAGAACTGCCATGTAAAAAATTAGCTTTTAACTAATTTTAAACATTAAATTAAAATAAGAGCTACTGGGCAGAAGCTGAGCAGTACTGGGCAGTACAAAGTTATAGAATAACTTTCAGAATTAATTGAGAATCACTCATAAATGTGGATTTTTGACCCAGCCTTTTGAGCCTTATCTTTGTGACACCTGATCATTGCATGTGATCCAGGTGGCCCTGGGATCTGGATTTCACTTTAGCAATGCCAGATACATGACAAGAGTCAGTGCTGTCCTTTATTGAACAGGGGCAGCAGGAATCAGAATAGATGATCTTGCAGTAGAAAGCTTTGTCTGAAGTCTGTTTTCCTCATTACAGAAACTTTTTAGCAGCTGAAGCTGATATTGATTTGCCAGGTGTAGCCTTCTGGCCCCTGGCTTTGACACAGCTCTAAATTCAAAGTGTGAGTCCCAAAATTCCTCAGCAGCATTTCTCAACCCCTGACCCATTTCCAGAGAGTTTTGGGAGCAAGACCTCCCCAGTGACAGCCAGTGCTTTGATTTTACATCAGCTTGAAGAGCTGAGGTCAGCTGATCATAAACCATTTAGTTTGGTTTTGCTCAGATATTTCACCTTTTAAAAAAATGTACTAAAAGATTACAGGAATTGAAAAAGCACTATTCTGAAATTGTTCAAGCTGCTTTGTAGTTCAATTGTATGCTAATGAGAAATTAAACCCACAACTATCATAGAGGGGAGCAAACTATGTTTTTTCTTTATTTCCTTGCAGTGTCTCTGGCACAGGGTATGACCAGTTTCTGTGAGTTGCCACAGACAATTATTTCCAGTGTTGCCTTGGAGAATATGGGAAATGGTGTAATTTACATACCCATTTTTTTCTAAAGCATTTTACAAATTGTGCTGGCTAGAGGGCAATCTGGAGTCTCAGGAGCTGAAGTCCCCTGAGATAGCTCCTGCCCTGAGCATGCATTCAGTCATCTGTACCTCATCTGGAGAAGCTTATTATGTTCTTGTAATTGACTCTTAGTTTTGCTCTTCCATCTGCTGTCCTGGCCCACCAGCATGTGAGGAGAGAGTGCTGCATAAGCCTGATAGGGGTAGCACTAAAAAATACATATATTTAAACATAGAACTTTTAAGATCATATGAACAATTTAAACATTCTTTGAGGTCTAAGAAGTAAGTAAATATTCTGTTGAAATGATTCTATGTATAAGGCTGTGCAAGGTAATTCCACAAGGAATGTTGGTACCTGCTTTTGTTCAGGAAATTGGCAACATCCTAGAGGGAATTTGATTTAAAAATAGCAAATGTGTATTTGCATTAGGAATTTTTTAATGGATTTGTGTCTGGAAATTTTGAGGGGTTTTTTTTCTAATGCAAAAGAGTGAGTAACAGGGTGGTTCAGATCTCACCACCCAGCCACTGTGCTTCCATCTTTTCTTAGGGGAATAAAGGACTGATTTGTGATCATGATTCCTTCACATATTTTCTGACCTCTTTCTGTTATTTTTGGTTTTCCCACATTGGGTATGATTTTATGTTTATTCAGTTGAGTTACTCTGGTTTCACCGGCGGCCCCTGCAAAGCAATTTTTTTTCAAAAAAGAGGCATAAAAGGCAACACTTTTGACATTGAATCCTCTTTCTGTATTTTCCCTGTTTTTATAGCTTATATTAGCCATTGAAAAACATTCTGCTCCAAAGGTTCTGCACAGAGATTTTCATTTTGCATTTAGTAGTCATTGCTGTAACTGTAAATACCATTTTTGGGAAGTGTGTTTCTGTTGATTTATACTTTTATACAAATTCTGTTGATTTATGTTTTTTCTGACCTTTTCTTTTCTCCACAGATTAAATTCGACAGTGATGGTGTCTGTGTTTGCTGTGAAATGCAGCACCAGACATCAGGCTGCAGTAACCTGGGAGAAACACTGAAACTGAACCCTCTGCAGGAGTGCAATGCAGTGAGGCTGACCCTCAAGGTGTGTTAGGAGAGAATTAACTGATTATTGCAGTTTTAACTCAGCAAGACAAAGTGTGTGATGAAGGAGCAGCAGCTGCTGTCCTGTGCCTTCATCCACCCTAACGTGCAGAACACCTCTCCATCGCAATATCAGCATTTGTGTGGGTAACTGCTTTGTTAAGGATTACTCAAGAAACAGAAGTTCAAGCTGGCTGTGATTTATGCTGGAAGAATTATCTTTCACTTTGCTGTTCTGAGGTGGTGTTTTATGATGTTGTGGTGATTGCAAAGAAACACAAAGTGTTGCAGAATAATGAGATATTTCCTGATGTGAAGGCAGCCACGTCACTTTGGGGGAAAAGAGTGAGTGTTCTTCTGGGTGATGCTGGAAACTTGCTAATAAACTGCCCTGCAACACTGTAAGAAGTTTAAATCTTGTAGCATTTTGTATTACAGCTACCCAAATGAAAAACTGAGAGCAAATACTAAGAATATTGTATGAGTGAGTTAGAGCTCAGTGTGATTGCTGCCATCATTGCTTCACTTCATTATCACCAAATGGGAAAGCATTGATGCTATGTTGTTTTGAAAAATAATCAAGAATCAATGAATGAACTGCTCAGAAAAAGGAACCCTAGGCTGAAAGGCAGATATTGATTCATTCTAGGTTTAATTGCATGATCAGCAGAACTCTGTATCTGTGACTCTCAATTTCAAAGTATGTATTTTAATAAAACTGATAGAAAATAATGGAGTAAAGTAGAGAAATTCATTGTGAGAAGGATCTTAGGGAAGTAGATTTTCTCAGGTGGGTCCTGAGAAAGCTATAAAAGTTTTATTGATATTTGAAGATATAATTGAAAATTCAGAATGGATAGAAATCCTATACAAGGTATGTAATAAATACCTAAATGTTCTTCAGCCTTGTTAAGAAAAAGCAAATAAATAAAAAAAAAGCTACCACCAAGTAAAATGGATGAGGTAGAAGTTAAAATATTTTTATATGGCCCCAAAATTAAGTAAGAACTCTGCCTCAGGTTTTAATGAGGATGATAAACATGACAGAGCAAAAACCTGCTGGGTAGTTCAGTAAGTGGAAAAGAAGCATAACTTGACGTTGCTGGTCAAAACATAACAATAACAGTGCAATGTATTACAAGAAGGTAACTTCTGAGAAGGACATTCCTCAAAGTATGACAGATGCAGAAACATGAACCTGTCATTCAGGAAAAGCTGACTTACTAATCCCATGAAAATAAAGATTGAGAGAGCATATGTTTGCTTCCTGTAAATATGTCAGGAAGGTAAACTTTAATGAGAGGGAAAACAACTGTTTATCTTTGGAGGACCTTGTCAGCATGTGAAGTGAGCAGAAGTGACATATGCTGAAAATCAAGACAAGGATTCTAACCAATACAGCAGTCATAATACAAGCACAAAATTGAATTTCTTCTAAGATATGACTCAATCATTTATAAGAGGAATTGACATATCAACTTACATTACAAGAAAATGAGTTTAAGCACAGGAGTTCCTATGAGTATAGTCTGAGGGCAATTTTAATTATGTTCAGAACTTTTCATCTAAGAAAGGGTAGTTAGGAAAGTAACTTTTTCAGAAAGTTTTTACATCTTTTTCAGGTTTAATTCTACATTTGCTTTCTATTTGGCTTAGCTCTGATTCCTGGCTGTAAATTTAAGAACAGTAGGTAACAGCTGACAGTGATAAGGCTCACCCTCTTTAATTACAGTTAACAACTACCATGTGGTTTTAAAGAAACAGATGTTTAAGTACCAAAATCTCAATTGTATTCATGGTTTGAGGAGCCAGAGGGAGAGAAAATGTAGAGAACCAGAGGTAAGATTATACATTTCATGTATAGCATTATGTAGGTTTCATGCTCCTCTTTATTGCAGGTGGGGTAAAAATCTGGTGTTTCCACTAAGTCACCCGTTGGGTTTTGGTGGCAGCAGCTGTGGAGCTCCATGTGACCAGAACAGTCCAGTACATCTCCCCTGTCTGATCCTGTTCCCAGGCAGTCACACAGGACAAGGAAAACCAGCAGTGGCTCCTGTGTATGAGAGCTGAGCCTTGCCTCATATTGAGTGGGGGGTTATAATTGCTTTGAAAAATCTCTAAATTTGTTGTTGTTGTTTCTGCAATGAACCATCTCTATGTGCTTTTTTGCAAATCAATCCTCCTTCTTTCTCCATTTCAAGCCCTGAATAAACTACTCAAACCTTTTAATGGGGACAGAGGAGCTACCCCTGCAGCATGTATGGTCCCATATAGGCACATTCATAGATACAAGTATTGATTGCAAATGCTGACTGATCTAGAAGTGCTGACTTCTGAAATCAGTTGAATAGTGGGGTTTCAGCACAAAATTATATGTTCCAGCAAAATGGACAAAAATACTGTGCTTTTTCACTGTTGTACTGGGGTCTCAGCCCACTCAAGGGTGTTGAATTGTAGGGTTAGAAATATAAATATAAGATACCATACTTGTAGTCTTGTCTGCACACCTCAGTAAAAATAGCACAGCTGCATGATGTGATGCACTGCCATTAAGATCTGCAGACACCCAAGTGGGATCCATCTCCCCTGGTTTACACTGGAGACAATTCCTGGTTTCTGTATTTCACTAGGAGATGTGGGGTTTTTTAGTTTCCTGCAGTAGTAGCTCCTAAACTGCCCCTGAAAATAAGGTTCTTTGCTTTCCTCTGGATACTCAGGGTCAATAATCTGTGCTTCTAAAGGATGTCAGTGTCCTAGTATCTTGATTTTTTTTTTTTACAGTAACCACCCTTCTAGAACAGCTTTATCCTTTATTAGGAAGTTACTTTGTTTAATTAAAGCCAAATGAAGGCACAAGCAAATCCTACCTATTTACAAAATTAGTTAAAAGAATTTAAAAGGTTTATTAAGAATCAGGCATCCAAAAATGAGATGAAGGCCCCAGATGGGATGGATTTAGGATGCAGTTTCAATAACATCAACTTAATCTATTTTCCCATAGGAAGGTGATGAAATTTTAAGGAGCTGACTTTTTCTTGTCATGTTAATTAAAGTAAAAAGGCTAAATTTTTCTGATATCTTTCATCTATGAAAATTTTGTCTTTTTTCTAAACTCAGAGTATTCTCAACTTACTGAAGATATACCTGCAACATTTTGAGAGGATGAAGTTAGGTATTTAGAAGTTTGAATTATTTTGTAACATATTTTGCTGTCTGATACTGATATGCAAGAGGGGCATGTTATGCTATTTTGGTTTAGTAAGGATACAGTTGAGTATTGTTAATTACTTTTAACAGCTTACACAGTCCAGAATACCTGCAGACATGTATGTGAGTTTATAAATTTGCTATTTATGTAATTACCTCCTACTTTACTTAAGGTGCATCTGTAGAATGCTTATGTGACTACCAGGCAAGGAGAGAAGCTGATTCCCTCCTCTGTCTTCAGCATAAATAGTTGGTTTGGAGCTGCTAAAGTTCAAGTACAATATAAATAGTAAGGTTTTATAAAATATAAAGTAATATAAAGTTTCAGGTTTCTGGTTCCATTCATTAGTTAGGCATCTCTATTAAAGATTTATATAGCTCAGGGCTCTTGAAGTCTTCTGTGTGAGTACTTTCTTTCCTTTCCTCTCCTTTGAATCCAAATTTATTGTTACTGAGTTTCCTGATGACCAAGTCTACTCATATATTTAATTTTTTTTCATTCAGAAGATGCTTCCACTTGCAAAACAGAGGAGGATGGCTCCTAGCATGTTCTTTACAGTTATGAGAACAATCTTTCCTCAGGTTTACCATAAGACCAAATGCAATATTATTAATTTTATTGAATGACTTACCTGAAAGGCTTCCTAAGCTACTTAAAATTGGATAAAGCTCAGCCCAGAATAAGTAATTCCAGATCAGATTTTTAAATGCTGGATTTGTTTCACATTCCTTTACAGGCAGCTGAAAATATTCTCTACATTCAGTGTGTATTTACCACACCAAGACCATCAAAAATAGGGTGGATCAGGGGAGGCTTTGTAGTCTGAATAGCTGAGCTACTTTTCCTTCCTCATGCTTCTTTCTGTTCCTAGCTTGGACAATGAGTGGATATGGTTGTAACCTTCTCTGATGGCTGAAAAGGTGCCTCTTTGAATGACTGCAGTCTGTTTATTCCATCCTTGTCCAGTTATATGTTGTGAAACCTTAGTCTTTCAGGAGTCTCTAACTATCATGTCCCCAGTACTAAATTTTATGCAGACACCAGAGTTGGAAGGTATGCAAACTTGAGTGCAAGCAGAGAAGACCATTTTCAGTTTATTTTTAAGTAGCAGTGCACTGTGCACTGCTTCTTAAAAATATAATAAAATAGTGAATTATACTGTACTTTCAAACCTTAAATCTATTTTATGAAGTGTTGTTCATCTCTCCATTTACAATGCAATGTGTGGTTGAGACCCATTTGACTCAGAATTAATTCTTGAGCCTTCCTTGTATTTGAGCAGATATTTTTCCCAGTGTTTTTCTAGATGTATCCAGTGAGAACAACTAAAGTTATATTTTGAGTTGAAAGGATTGTTGTCCGTGAATTCTTGAATAGAAGAAGTACATTGACACTAATTTCATGGGTGAAAAAGCTTTGCTGCTCATTATCTCTTTTCAGGATACAGTAGTATAAGAAATGAAGCACTGTAATTGAAGTCAATCAAGGAGAAAGGAAATCATCTCCACAGTGCTGCAGCCGTGGAGCTGCTGTGAGCCATTGATGGCTGGGGATGCTGAGATCCCTGTGCTCAGGGCTGCTGCTCACAGAGTGCTCCTTTCACACATCAGCAAGCTGATCTTGCTGCTCTCATCGCGTATTGGCTAAAGTCTCAAAAGTGGAGAGAACCTCCAAGACTACAAATCTTTTATTTCCTCAGGAAAATATTCTATTCAGCCAGCAAAATGTGAGTGTGTTGTAAAGAGGGCTGTCAGTTCAATACTGTTGAGCAGACTGGAACTCATAAAATGAAATGGATGTACTTTGTGTCTTTCTAGAGCAAAACAGGTTTAAATACAGTTTCTCAATGCTGTGTAAGCAGCACAGCTGATTAATTTTCTATGTAGTAGTTGGCAGAGTGAATATTTTGAGGTAATCGTGCTTCATCTGTGTGGTGTGGTCTGTACTGAGTGACAAATTCTCTGCTTTGATGTTCATGCGTGTAACTTCATTTGCAGTGCAGTTATTGCTGTGATAGGAAGAAGCAAGAGAGTGACTAAATATTTACCAAAGCCTGCGTTTGAGTTGAGTTTTGAAGATGTGCAGACATTCTGGTTTTAGCCTGGCTTACTTGATGGTTTTGAAAGATAACTGATATTAGAGACAACAGCAGTTATAAATTGGTGTCTGTGCTGAAGGAACTCTATGGGTATGGCCCGCCATTAGAGTGAAGTGATGCTATTCCAGTTCTGCTTTGTATTTGCTGTGATAGGAGGCACAAATGATGTTCTGAAGGACAACATTTCAGCAGGGTGAACACACATGCAGTAACTGTTCATTGGTTATAAGGGCCCAGCTCTGCCAGTGCACCCATCACTGGCTGATGGGATTTGTGCCATTGTCATTTTTCATTTTAGATTCTATCTCATCTCTTTGCTTCTGTCAGGTAATTGCATGTGCTAACCGCTGTTCTAAATTGCTTTGTTAAATGATTGTTTCTACAGTTGAGTTATCGATGTGGCAATCACCAATTTTTTACTTATTCCAGTTTGATACCATCTGACTGCTTTATCACCCAGCAGTTTGAGGGAAAACAAAGAAAATCAGTTTTTAGAACAAATTGCTTTTCGAGCATATTGCAGTATGAGTTTTTTATATGATATTCTCAATTAATTATATCTTAAAATTACATTTTTTGAATACAGAATATTAAAATATTGCAATTAAACATTCAGATTTTAAATACTCAGGTTCTGTAATACATATCCTATTTTAATCTGTTCTGTAGGATTTTGGACTACACATTTATAGAACATGCATTTTTATACATTTATGTATTGTTTTAATTATGCTAGTAATGGAAGAACTGAGGTGCAGTAGCACAAAAACAGTGTCAAAAGAATAACAGTGAAAACAGCTTGAATTAGAAAAAAGAAATAAATAGCTGTTCTGTCCCTAAGTGAGACATATGGGAAATGATAGTGTGAAGAAGATTTGAGAATGCACAGGTATCATGTGGGAATGCACAGGTATCCTTTGGGAACACAGCACAAATCAAAGGTGTCTGTTGTTATGGAGGGAAAGCATGATAAAAAGTTATGCAGGTGCTGGCACCATTAATTTGGTAATTGTTCAAGTTGTAGTATAAATGGAATACTGCAACCCTGAAATCTTGCTTTTTTTCACTGTCAGTATTAAATTTTAGTTTTGCTTTTAAGATTTAGTGAGGGAGCTACTTGGGAAAACAAGTGGCCACAGAGAAACAGCTCACGGTGCTGCCTGACTCCTGTGGCTGTCTCTCTGGGCTGGTCTAGGCATGGTTCCAGGCAATTCTGACAGCTGATTCCACTCTGGAGGGATTCGTGTCCTCTGCAGCTAGTGAGCTAAGGTGTATGAAGAAAATTGTATATGTAACCTGTTGAAGAATAATCCTCCCTAGTACATTATAGTTATCAGAGCATTAATTGTCATATAAACATGCTGGAGAATCAGAGTTTTGTCTTAAAAAGACAAAGACAGCATCTAAGAGAAAATTGGTTCAGCCATTTCTGAGGAGCAGAGAATTGTACTTCATGCCATTAGAGATTCATGTGTTGTGTGTTCTGATTAGTGTTCTGGTAGAAGTCAGCTAAAGATCTGTTACTAAAGCTCCCTGATTTTGTATTTAGTACAGATTTCCTGCTCCTTTAGACACCTATAAATGTAGCTGGCTGGGGCTGTGGGGAGTTGGATTGGCCCTGTTGTGGTTACTGCTTTTTCACAGACATTTCCTAAAGGACACTTTAATTGTCATTGTTTGTTCCAGCTGCTGTCTGTCAGCACCTACCCTGTCCTTCTGGCACTGTGCTTGACCATGGAGGGCTTTAGTTCCTGCTCACTTTTTATCTATAGCTGAATAAATGAGTGTCATGGATTACCTAATTATTTTTTCTACAGGGCACAGGGAGTGAATTTCCTGAAAATGGTAAATTGCCTGAGGCTGATTAATGTTTGGGGAGGGTGGGGGAGTGGGGAGCAGAGAAGGGTGGGTTGTGGCTTGATTCCTGTTTGAGTTGAAACAGACTTTAGGATAAAAAAGCCAAAACAAATAAAGAAGCAGTCTTGCTTTAAGAAATATCTAGTGGTGGTGAGGCCTCCACAATCACTGCTCAGTTATTACTGTCTGTTAAAATTTTAGACTTACAATGTTTTAGATGTCTGCTCCCTATTGATCTTTATGAAATACATAAAAACTCTGCATCCCTGCATTTGGGGTTTTCTAGTTGTACCTTCACCTTCAAAGAGGTTGTAGCAGGAAGAGAAATTGTGTGCTTAGGTGGACAACAAGAGTGTGTGGAAAGAGGCTGCTGCTCCTGTGGGCAGCAATCGCTGCCCTACATCAAAAGCAAAATGCTGAGTAACAAACGGAGCACAGCTGTCCCAGCGTGCCAGGAAACATCTCAGGGTGGGTAAGGATGAGTGCAGCCTGCAAGGCACAAGAAATTATCCTCACACCAGAGCTGGTGTTTGCAAGGCCTTCAGTTGTATCTGGTTTAGGATCCTGCATTTAAGGAAAGATGTGGACCCAGGTGAAGTGAAACAAATTAGATTAATGCAAAGGATCAGAGGCCTGGAAAGTTGATTTCAGTTGAGAATTGGAGAAAATGGTGTTAATATGTCATGCAGTAAAGGTGAAAAAGGCTTCAAGAGTGATAATAGAGTTCAAAGGTATAAAAGTCTGCTGTGTAACAGCCTGTTCTCAAGAGCTATAGAAGAAAAGAAGCCATGGGCTTCATCTGTGGGATGGACATAACCAGGACACTGATGGTAAAAATAAACACTGGAATAGTGAATAATAGTGATGAAGCTGTGGGGTCTTTAAGAACAGATGAGAAAAACATCTGCCATGAGACTTAGAGGCACAGTTAAGTCTGTCCTGGGACATGTAAAGGTGTATGAAGGTCTTGGAGACACTTTGCATCCTAATTTACAACTTTGATTTATTATTTAGCATAAATGGTATTAAGTTAAGCACTCAGATTGGCTAAGTTTTTTGTATTTGAATGGCTGTAGTAGGAAATGGATGGTGTTTCTTCCTGCTAGGAAATTGTCCTATTTTCTACCCTAGATCTTGTCTCTGCCTCGGTGTTCTTTACCTAGGTTTGCATATGGAAAGCAGAACATGAAGGATCTCAATTTCCTTTTTTTGGCACTGTTAACTAATTGGGTCTCCAGGGATCACTTTGTCTGTTTGCCTCTATTTGAATGCTCTAAGTGGGTCTGTATGACTTCAAGTGAGTCCTCTGCATCACCTTCTGTCAGTGACTTAGTGATTGGCCCCTCCAGTATTTTCCTGTTAATGCTGATGATTCATTATTCCTCTGGCTGAAGGGCTGGCCAAGAAGACAGAAAACTACTGACCAGATCAGCAAGAGCAAATCTGGCTCAGTGGAAGTTATTAAATGACTAAAACTTGTTGGCCCATTTATTGTCTGCCTGGTTCCCATGGCTGGCATTTCCATCTTCAAATGAAGGTCACTTGAGGAGCAAACAATTACAGTGGCAGGAGAAAATCTGCACCTTTCTATCATTTGTTTCAGAACTGTTGGGGAAAACAAAGCAATTTTTAGTATAGAAGTTATTTCATGCATTGGCAGTGAATGAAATACTCTTTTAAACTTAGACCCTATGGAATGTTCTTTACACAGTGAGTGTTTTTTACTCACTGTGTTGTAGCAATTTTGTTCTGTTCTCTGTGCTGCTTTTTCTCAAATGCTTTTACTGGCTATTCAGAGAACTGGGCCACACAATAGCCACAGCAGCCATGCAGTTTCTGTACAAGGATTGTAGTAGTTTTGAAATGTTGCCAGCACACTAAATTCTTTTCTGGTCTTTTCACTGGCTGCGGAGAAAGTAAATACAAATCCAATGATTGAAAGAGAGATAAATGCTTTATTTTTAGTGACACCATTGCTATAAAAATGTTCCATTTTAATTCAAATGTTTATTTTCTTTTATTCTACTTGTTAAACCAGTATTCTGTGTTCTATTTTAAACTTCTTGTTCTTTAAAAAAAAAGCCAACAATATGACCATAGGCACTCAATTCATCAGTAGAAGGTGAAATATCTGGGTGTGTAATCACTGCTTTTCTCTCATGTATAAAAATATTTCAGATGCATTGAGTGTCTGACCACAGGATAAGTCTCTATTTCATACTAGAATTTTTTTAACGCACAACCCTAAGTTGTAGATTTCAACTACTCAAAGCAATAATATTTCTGCATGTAGTTTTTAATCAGAGATGTCTTTTACAGTATCTTTCTTGTGATAGCTGCAGCTTGGAGTGGACTGTGAAAGTGTGATTTGTCTTTTTGGGGAACAAGGAATTTTGAATATCAATATTTCTGAGGAAGTATCTAATAGCAAATGTGTTGTGAGAACTGGGAAAGGGAAGATGTTTGTTTCTGTAATTGCTGCCTTGGTGGATTGCTACCTGAAAAAGATTACAAGCCAAATTAGTTCTACCCAGTTCTTTGGGACCTTATTCATGGATAGTAGCTGAGAGTGTTTGTTATCAAACTCCTCAAGCATTTCCTGTGCTTTGTGTCCCTGAGATAAGAGATGATATTCTGCTGCTGTCTCTTGCAGGACCTGTTGTTCAGTGTGTGCGCTCTCAATATCATCTCCACCATTGTCTGTGCTTTGGCAACAGCAATGTGTTGCATGCAGATGGTTTCTTCTGATCTCCTGCAAATGGTGAGTACGTTTCAGTGCCAACACAGGGTTTGTCCAGCATAGCACAGTGTCCTTCTCTGTGGATGCTCATTTGCACCTACTCCTTGCTTATAAACCTCAGCCTATTTGTGTCTCTGTGTAGTGTTAGAATGTGTGTGTATTGGGTGTATTTTTTATCTGCATGCATCTATATAAACATAGCATATAGATGTATGCAGCATGAGGAGCTGCTGTGCTTCAATGTTTATGTATTATAGTGTATGATCAGGATTTTGCAACTGGGACTTGTTCTTTTTGTTAACGAGGTTATTAACGAGGTTCAGTTACATTTGCTGTCATCACTTGTATATTATCTCCAGGCTCCACACTCCCCAGAGCAATTACTTAGCTTTAAGATCCTAGTTTTCATTACTAGATTGCTATGAGAGCTACAGAGAATGAGAAATATAAGCTCAAAACTGGAACTTTTCACAGCCCTGTGCCAATAATTGTGTTTTCATAAGGAAAATGTGTTCAGTCAGAGTAACATTTGTGTTCAAAACAAGAGCAAAAAGGATCATTAGTCTTCTGCACAGTCAGCTGCATCACAGGATGCTGTCTTGTTTTGGTTGGACAAAGGCAGCTTTCCTATTCCAAATGAGTGTTGGATTCACAAGGTTTCAATGTAAAAAAAAAAAAACCAAAATTTTAAAAACCTTTGTATTTTTCAGGCTAGCTCCACTGCTTGTAACCTTGCTCTATTGCTGGGTAATCTAGGAAATGTCCTGTTTAATAAAGGAGGGCAAACACACAAATCTAATACTGGCCATATGTACATCTGGTATTGGAAAAGTTTGCATGGACGGAAGACTGGCCCAGCCAGTCAGCTGCAAACCATTTAAACAACTCAGAAATGTTGTAAAGCCTGCCCATGCAGGCACAGGTCTTTTAAAAAGAAATAATTAGAAATACACTGGGTGCCATGGGTATTGATTTAAGTGCATGAATTACAGAGATAAGGCTGCCCTTTCTATACAAGTGTTCCAGTCACTGCGTTTCAAACCCAGTTAAAAAATATCTTCAGTCTGGGATCTGATGCTTGCTTCACATAGAAATGGGTATTATAAGTTGGGCTCATATGTTTAGGTAATTACTGCAAATAGTACATAAATACATTTTTGCTGTAGGGCTCTGTTTATGCATATTGTGCAGGCTTGTAGAGGCTTGTAAACAGTGCTTATTTAATAACACTAGTATGGATGGGAAATAATTAACAGAAATAATGTTCAGCTTCAGCTGATGACACTTATATTTTAAATGTTAAAGGGTCTTTATTGGATTCTGGCTATTCTTTCTTTTCATACACTCTCCCCCTCCATATTTACTACAAGAATGCCCATTGACTAAAGAACTTTTTCACCTTGCAGTGATGATGAGGAGATGAAGAGATTATCATACCTTGAAAAATCTATCTGTCTAGTGGAAAAATGGTAGCAGTGATCCAGAGGTGTATATTCCAGGAATCTTGATCTACACTTAATGGTATTTAGCAGTGTAAGAGGAATAAAAACAAATAGGTAACAATGAACCAAGACCAATATTAAAGTGCTTCTGATGGGCTTATGCAAGAAGCAGTAACCTCAATAGGAAGTCAAATTCCTAAAAGCACATAATTTTTCTCTCTGCCACCTCATTCTGGATGTCTTTAAGATTCTTTCTTTCCCACCTGGCAATGCTGCCATTTCTTGGTTGCAGTGTTTATTTCTTTTTGCTTCCTATGCTTTGTGTTTCCAGCTTTCTGTTTTCCTGCTTAGCTGTCCGTTCTCCCACCCTTTCAGCTCCATCAACAAGAAATTTCTTCCTTCTCCCCAGAGGAAGGGAAATACAAATATATCTATATTTCTGCTCAATCCCAGTCTTTTCTTGTTTATCAGTTTTTCCCTTTCTTTTTTCAGGTTGCTGAGCCAGATTCCTACCGGGCCTAAGTGAGCGTAACTTCCCTGGGGCTACGCTGACTTAGACCAGCTCAACTCTCACCTGAGGATTTCTTTTTCTTTCACTACTTTCAGCCTATTGTCCCATGATCTGCAGCTCCCCTTTGCTCTACTACACTCAAAACTCCGATTACCTTCATTTTCTCTTGCTTGTTAATGCTGGATTTGTGCTTTTTCCTTTTACTTTTCACTGACGTGTGCATCTTCTCTTAGCGGGGTTGTACCAGGTTGGAAGTTTGACAGCAGCAGCAAAGATACCACTCCTCAAAGCTGAGAAGGTTTTAATTATTGTGCTGATGGTTTTACTCTGTTCTGCAGTATTCAGGAGCTCTGTAAGCTCTCCTGTAACAAGAAGAGGCAATAGGGAGCAGCCTCCTTGGATGTCATTAGGTTATCATTAGAGCAATCAGTTCTGTGATTCCTGTGCTGTTCTTGTCTCTGAAATTAATCCATTGGAATGGTAATTTTTGCAAATTCAAAGAATTCCAATTTATTGCTTAGCAACATAAAGCAGGTGTAACAGTCTCAAGAAAATCTGCAGCAATGATTCTGTGATTTTGTGCTTTGTTGATGACTTTTGCATACAGCAAATGTCTTGATTCATACAGGCAAGCTGATGTATTTTACTGGAAACTGCTGTCTTCTGACATCCCAGCCTTTAGGAAGAACATCCTAAAAACACAAACACAAGCTGTCCAGTAGTGAGCAAAGTTTAAATTTTCCAGTGAATTTGAAGAGGGGTTTTTTAGTTTAAAACCAGTCCTACCTAACAAATATTTTATTTCAAGTGCTAAGGGAAAAAATACAGCAAAATACTTCAAAGTGGTTTTATTGCTTTATATTTTATTTTATATTTTTTCTGGATTGTTCCTTGTTTGAGTTTACTGTTTTAGAAAGTACCCCAAAATTTTCATTTCACTTTAGCCTTTCTCATTGTGTTATGTATATGCATTTGCCCAGGCAAAGAAGCCCTACCAATTGTACCAAAGCTGCAAGAGAAAGTGATACCATAGCTGAAGATTGAGAAGGCATTTGTTGTGTCTCACTAGAGTGTTTAAGGCTGCACTCCATTACAGGGCTTCCCAGAATTGTTCTTTCTATGTGCACACCCCTCCAGGAAATAAATGTGAATCAAATCAGATCATATCAAGGCTCTGTAATGTGAAGAAACCTCTCTTAATAACCAAACTGTCACTTCCATGATATTTCATTTGTTGCCTGAGGCAGTTTCAGTTTGCATCTTGTCTGATGAATGGCTACTGTGAAAATGCACCCTGTTTTCTTCAAAAGGTAGCTGCCTGGATTAAAGTAAGAAATACAAAATATTACAGCCACTGTGGCCAGGCTGAAGCATGAATTACACCTATTCCAGTCCTCCTTCCACTCCTGATATGTTTATACACTTCTTATCCTTGAAGTGCTGGCACTGATACCATTGAATGTGTTCTGATTTTATCACCATCACTGTTAATATCTGTTCATGTTGTGTGATACCTAAAACCATCTGTTATTTTGTAAAGAAAATAAGGTAATGATGACACATGCAAGCTGTAGTGTTTAATTACTGTTTTCATCAGTCCTAGTGATAATTCAGCATGTCATTATCTTAATAGGCTGTAGTTAATATTTCTACTCAAACACCTCACAGAAAGCATCTCTGTATGAGGGTAATATCTTGCTGGAATCGTTTGACCCTCATATTCTGGGGAAATAGTAATGAAAAACCCTTCAGAGAGAAGCTTAAGTGAGAATTGAGATTATTGATAATAATTACATTATTACATATCACTTTAAATTTAATCTAATGACATCAAAACTTAAATAATCCTTTTTTGGGCACAAAGTTCACTTAAGGTAGTGCAAAACTCAGATGACATTCCCTTTAGAAATATGCATTGGGAATGATGTACATCCACAGAAAAATCCTAAATGTAAATATGATTGCATAAATACTCCCCTCACACCCACCATAAATGCACACCTTAGGTCAGGAAATCTTTTGGCATTTTTAACAAATGTACAATTTTTCATCAAACACTTTATTGGTAGAATAAGAATATTTAATATTTAAGACTAAAATATGGTAAGTACTTCAAAAAAGGTATCACAGAGCAAATACCCATGAGGCTCCTGTGATGGTTGTAGGAACAGCAACTGGAAACAACTGAGCAGAAAAATCTGAATGTGTTTTCCATATCAAAATATTTTCTGTCTCATAATTTCCCTTTAAGATCAGGGACAAATTATAAGAGTCAACCAGGGTCCTTCTGTTCTTGTAGACAATTAGAGTCTACATTTCCCTTCAGCAGATACTGATTCCAGTGTTTTAGAAAAGGAAAACAGCAACCTGTCCAGGAGGACAGCTAATTGAAGACAGAATTATAGACCCGAGTGTATTGCACAGAGCTTTCACTCAGGATAACGTGCCAGTGTTTAATTATATGCAATTAGAAATTTCTATTTCCCATTCTCAAAAATCAGCAGATTTTTATAAATTACTGAAATGAGAATAATGAACTCTGGAGTCTCCAAAGGACTGATTTCAGAGTTATACAGTGCATGTAATAAATGTGATATGGAAGACAGTGGTAATTACCTGCAGATAGAGGAAAAACTCAGATAAGTTTCCCTTAGAGCACCAGGCACATACTGATATAAGGCACTTGTGGTTGAGATAAGCTGTAATTGCTGAGCAGTGGCTCCCAGCAGTGGCATTTCCATGGGCTCAGTGGTGCTGAGCAGGATGTGCAGAGCACAGAAAGTCTTTGCTGATGTTCAGTGGGCAGGTCCCACAGCTGGAGCCCTGGTGCTGAGCTGTTAGTCTGACCTGCCTTGGGCAGAAGGATGGACCACATGGTATCACAAGAGGAACTGTTTCAATAGACAATTATACTGACAGGTCTTACCTGCTGTTTCTTCAGCTCCTTAACTGGGTCTCCTCCATCAGCTTTTACCTCAGTGTGCTCAGAATGTCCAGAACATGAATAATACCTTCTGATCACTTCAGTGACCAGCTTACAGACAGCCCTTCAGTGAAGAGCTGGAAATTCGGTCTGACAAAAAGAGAGGGAGTTTTATAATTTTACACATATCTATGTAATGGTGTTTATTCCACCTGGAAAATTCTAACACTGAGAGAAGAGATGGGTTACTCTTCACTGGGCAGGGATAGCTGATGTGTCTGGCTGCAGGCTGGGAGCTGGCAGAGGAGGTTGCTGGTGTCCAGCCCCACTGTTGGCTGTGTGGAATTCTCAGTGCTGTGGCAATGCACCCTTGAGCATAACTGCATTTTCAAAAACTCTTCTCTCTTCTGGAAGTGGGGTACTTCTAGCACTTGTGCTTCTAATTCCCTGCTTCCTAACAACTTGCTGCTGCTGCCATGGCAAACTTCTGTATTGAATGCAGGTCTAAGCAGTGGGTTTACAGCATTTTACAGCTTTCTTGTTTACCCTGCTGCAACCAGACAGAGAGCATGTTTTACTCTTCCCTCATAGCTGCAGACAAAATTAAAACAATAAGTGGTGCTCACTATGAGGGCTGTTTAAATCAGGCTGTTCCACTCTGTCCAAATCAGATGTGCCCAGTGAAAACACTGAGTTCTGTGCTCAGTGTGTGCTCTGTGTTCCACATCCCTTTAGCACAAGCCCTGGGCTGTGTAATGCCCATCCAGTATCAGACACGTTTCACACACTGAAGGCCAAGGATGAGAAAATACCTGTCTGTGTGAGAGTAATAGTCTGAATGCCAAGCTTCAAACATAAGGTCAGCTGTTTCCTAGAAGACCATGAATTCCAGATCTGTATTTCTTTGCCTGTTGAATTTCTGAAAGCTCCCAGCATCCAACAGCTCTAGGAGGGTAATAGAAATGGTTGAGTCTTCTGGATTTCCACAGCTGTGGGTTTTCTCTTTCTTTCTAGTAAATATGTTTGAAGTATCTGTTGATAGCTGTAAATTTTTGCTAAGCTTTTAATGCAGTTGGGTATTTAGCATTTAACAGAGATGCTGTATGCTGTTTATCTTTGTCTGCAACCATTTTCTCTCCATTGCTTCTGCAGTGGCCATTAGTTTGATCCCAAGGCTGGCTGGGAGTCCCACTGTGTGAGCTGTTCCATGGTGTGAGCTGCAGTTTTTGACATGATATTGAGTGCAACTTGATCCTGTTTATCCTGGTCACTGAACAGCCACCCCCATTTTCTGCTTGGCAGTTCTTGTTGTTGCCTGTCCCGTTTGCCATCAGTATCTTGAGACTGATTATTTGATAACAGCTGTCTTCTAATACCAGAAATATGTGTTTCTGTCTGAAAGTATTTGTCAGTGTTTCTGCAGCTTTCTCAGCTCTTTGCATTTTATTACTGTCTTTTTTTAACCTATGAAATTTGTATTAAGCCTTTGCTGAAACCCTGCCAGACTTCACTATTTGAGACTAACTCTTGAAGATATTTAAAATACATTTTCCTGTAGAAAGAATAAACTTTTGCAGGCTAGCAGAGATCAGTAGACAACATAGTGTGGAATAAAATATGACTTAATTCCCACTTACTGGCTTTCAATTGTTTTCTCAAGGATATCTGTTCTTTGTGGTAATCCCTTATATTTGCTATTGTTTCATTTCCTGCTAGTTTCCCTCTTACAGCCTTTTTCACTTTAATTTCTGTGCCTCCCAGCAGGATGATATCACACAGGTAAAGTGTTGTTTATAAACACCCCCAAAATGTGTATTTCCATGTCCATCCTGCTGCTCGTTGTCAAGTGTTGGTCCCAGTTCGTGTCCATGGTTTGTTATTGCCAGACCTTGAAAGGGATGCAGGTGATTCTGCTGTTCAACTGAGCTGCATCCAAGCATCAGATCTTTTCCTCCTGGAGCCACAGCCCCTTCTGCCCTGTGTAAAACCTCTCCCTTCTGTCATGCTCCACAGTGTGTGCTGGTGGTTCCCTGCTCTGCAAGTGCCCTGTGTTTAACACTGGATCACTCCCAGTCTGAGGCTGAGTGCATCCAGCTCCAGGGAGCTCCAGGACTGAGGGAACAGAGCTGCAAATTCTCTGGTGCAAACCAAAGCTTGGGGTCCATGGCAGTATGGAAACAGTCTGGGAAAAGGTCAAGGAAGTTGTAAATTAAAGTGGTTTTGTTTCCAGACTGTAGAAATGACCCCAGTTATCAACTGTTTTAGGAAGATGAGGGCAGTCCTGAGTTTGGTGGAGTCAAATATTGTACAAAATGTGACCCAGCATACTTGGATATTTGTGTTCATTATGGTAAATGTTTTTTAGGTAATTACGTTGATGTTTGTCTTGCTTCCTTTTTTCCTAAAAGATTCTTCCATGTATTTGAGATGGTAACAGACCAATGATTGCTTAGGGCAGAAGTTTGGAGTTTAATGGTTGGTATTAATGTTATGTTACACTTTGGGGAGTGGCTGTTGAAAGATCAGATGAGTTTAGACCAAATGACTGCAAGCAAGTTGTGGGTTTTGGGTTTTTTCCCTGTAAGCCAAACAGAGAAATGTCTGATAGTACCTGGGATAACAGCATCCCACCTCACATGGAGGATGAATGAGCTTCAGACATTTCACATAATGAAGAGTAAATCAAACTGATGCCATGTCTCTGTTTCTCTGCTGTACATGAGCAGAACACAATGGCTGAAAGTCCTTGGTTGGCTGTAGGATGTAAGGGAATTACAGTTCTGCAGAGGAGGTTCTTTATTAATAGTTATGTGTGGAAATATCTCTGGAGAGCTGAGCAGCAAGCAGCTGATACTTCATTCTCACAAAGAGGTGGTTCTGGTCCTCCTGACCCTCTGCTGTGCTCTATTATTACAGCTCTGACCTTTCAAACAACAAACATAGAGGGAGTTTAATAAAACTAAGATGTAACTCAAGCTTTAAAACACAAAGACCAGTATCATTTCTGTGGTAATGTAAATTCAGCAGAACTACACCAAGTTAAATTTCAAAAAGTGATAAATATAGAACTGTGGTATTAAAAATGAAGGTAATTTACTTTCTATTTGCTGGGTCTCCTAAGCATAAACATTTTCCCTTTTATTTTACTGCTTCCCAAATCTTTATCGTGGATTTAAACAAACAATAATGTAATGAGCCTACAGTATAAAAACATAGGTGGTCTTGTTCCAGCCCAAAAAAGAAATGTGCCCTCAGCAGAGTTTCTTAGCAGGCTTGTTTTACAAGGTAGGAGCTAAAGATCAAGTCATCTGCTGATCCAAGAAAAGTGACATGAGAGCAGAAGCTTGCCTGGAAAAGAGAAAGTTCTGTGGTTTTGGATTGTCTTTTAGTACCCCTTTGATCCATGGGGACCAAATAGAGCCAGGTGTGGGTTGTGGGATCTTCAGGATGGTCCATATTTGATCTTGGATTAGTTCAGGCCTTTCCCAGAACACTTCTGAGTGTTCCTGATATCAGTGGTACTGGAATGCCTCTTTAGATCCCTGCCCTGCTGGAAGCTGATGAAGTTCTCTGTCACAAATGTTGATGTGGTTCTCGATATTATTACTTTTTATTGTGCAGTGTAGTTATTTTCTTTTGGGTTTTGAGATGTGCATATGGAATAAATGTTTTTCTTACTTTCATACCAGTGCTTATAAGCTTTATACCACATTTAAGTGTGCAGTGTCTGTATCACCAAACCACAAACAGCTATTAAGAATATTTCATTTTACAAGAATAATAAAGAATAGCTATAAATGGCTCCTTCATTGGAAGTGAAAAATGGGTGGGACATTTCCAGTTGTTTTATTTAAAACATAATGTCTATGTAGTAGCCTGTTTCAAGGTAGATTTATTTGGGGTTGTTTTGGGGGTTGGTATTGGGGTTTTTTTTCTCTGTAAGTGCGTGACAGTTCAGATTGGAAACAAAAACATGCAAATATTTATTTTAGTTTAGCAGTTATTAAAATAGAACTGATTATGTGGGGCTACAATAAAATAATATACAATGTAGAAATATTTCTTGAAAAGCCATTAAATTGTAAATGTCTGTGTCCTGCATCCTAAGGCTGACTGACTTGGAGGCCCACAGCCTCTCTGTCTTTAGTAAAACCTTGTGCTGTGTTTTGGCAATCTGACTCACCCTCCTCACTGATCACAAGTATTCTTATGCTCCCAGAAGTGCCTTTTTAATTTCAGCTTGGGTATTAATGAATTTGGTATTGGTCAGGGTTGCTAATATTGACCTTTTATTAAAATTGTTGATATTGGTGATGATGTTTCTACCATCTGAAGGAACTTTACCTGTTGTTCATTTCCAGTTTCTGCCACAGAGGCCACATTCTGCCAATCCTGACTGCATGACTCCACATGGAACTGTCCTGCACCAAACCTTGGATTTTGATGAGTTCATCCCACCAATCCCCCCCCCTCCCTACTACCCACCAGAGTACACCTGCACACCCGTGGGGGAGGCACAGAGGTGATTCCCTTCTTCCTTCCCTTCCCTTCCCTTCCCTTCCCTTCCCTTCCCTTCCCTTCCCTTCCCTTCCCTTCCCTTCCCTTCCCTTCCCTTCCCTTCCCTTCCCTTCCCTTCCCTTCCCTTCCCTTCCCTTCCCTTCCCTTCCCTTCCCTTCCCTTCCCTTCCCTTCCCTTCCCTTCCCTTCCCTTCCCTTCCCTTCCCTTCCCTTCCCTTCCCTTCCCTTCCCTTCCCTTCCCTTCCCTTCCCTTCCCTTCCCTTCCCTTCCCTTCCCTTCCCTTCCCTTCCCTTCCCTTCCCTTCCCTTCCCTTCCCTTCCCTTCCCTTCCCTTCCCTTCCCTTCCCTTCCCTTCCCTTCCCTTCCCTTCCCTTCCCTTCCCTTCCCTTCCCTTCCCTTCCCTTCCCTTCCCTTCCCTGGGTTCTGAGCTGTGGGCCTGCAGCTCTTTCAAAGAGCACAAACCCAAATCATGTCCCTCATTTACACTAGGCTCTTCTCTGCCAGAGAGATTCCATATGGTGTTTAGCAAACTTGTTAGGCTACATCTGGAAATATTTGCATTAAAGTATTTCTGCAGTAGAGAAATTACTGACCTTAACTAAGACAAGGATAACAATGTCTGAGCTTTGAGCAAAAGTCCCTTTGTAAGTGATCCTTTCACAGTTAACATTATACATTTGAAGTTGAGTCCAAGATTTAATTTTTTAAGAAAATTATTGCAATTTATGTGTATTAATTTGGACTAGTGGAAGATGTTTATGATGGCAAAAGAGGCTGGTAAAAATGGCTGGCATCCTAAATAAAAAACAGTTGTTAAAGCTACCCTGTGAACCAGGGCTTCATTTTGGATGTCTTGTCTAATAAATTTCTTGAATGTAATTCTTTGTAGTGTATTGGCTTTTAATTCAGAGAAGTCTTTACATCACTGTGGTATAGGTAATAAATCAATGCCATTTCCTAATTGTTTGCTTGTTTATGTTTTTTTTTTTTTTGTAGAAGTCTCCATTTGGACTTCCCTCATTCCCCATTTGGTGCTTTATATGAAGTAACCATTAATAGCCCAGGAATGCTGTATCCAAGTGAGCTGCCCCCTCCTTATGAGGCAGTGATTGGGGAGATGCCTGCCAGACAGGTGAGGAAAACCAAAGGAAATTCTTTACGTGGTCTTCACATTTTCATGCTGCAAAATAATTCTAGGTAAACTTTAAAGAACAATCATTAGAAAATACTTTTATTCTTTAAAAACATTTTCCAGACTATTTTCTTTAAAAGGGTTTAGCTAACAAATTTTACTTCCTATGCAGCAGCAGTGAGTAGTTCTCCATTGCTTAACCTGCTGATTGTTACAGTTTTTAGTCATCAGCTTCTGCTGTTATGTGACAAGAAACTGCTACTCCTGAGAGTGCAGGACACTTTAGCCTGAGCTTTCAGAAAGGATCCAGTGTACTTGAGACAAATGTTTACATTACACTTTTTGCTTTATTCTGTACTGTATAGTATTGACTGAGCTGAAACTGGAGTTATAATGTATCTGCATGTACAGCCAGAGCTGATTCCAGCATTCCCTCCAAGGGATTTGTGGTAATTGAATCAGCTGTCACAAAGGGAAAATACTTACAATTGCTTTTAGAAGCTCTGATTTCTTTCAGTAAAAACTCCAGGAGTCAAATGTTCTAGGTATGCTTTATCAGTTGTTAATGCACACTGAGGAAATACCTGTGTTCAGGTTGCCAAATTGCACCCACATTACAGAGGGGACTACTTTGCCTTGCCCCAAAATAAAACATTGAAATATTTCCTAGTGACTTATTTCCATGTTGGGGGAAACCAGAATTGAAACCACAAACCTAAAGAAATGATACAAATTTTCACTATTATACATGAGATTATTAAGATAATTAATAAGACAAGTGTCTGAGGAAAAAAAAAATTGAAATGCTAAACCTCCAAAAAGATACAATTAAATTTCCCCAAGATATGCCTATCTTTGTAGCTTCTGGGACTGACAAAGCAGTTTCTGACAGACCTTCTGATCCTTGCCTTGGGCTATATCCTCCACCCAACACAACAAACTGGCCAAACATTGCATTACTTGTGATTTGTTTGGCTACAATAAAATGAATCTGTATAAACTGCTTTTGAGTGAAGTTCCTTGCTGAATAGCAAAATTGGAGTTTTCAAGGCCATCTCCTTCTAGAATATTTTTTATCCAAGTTCCATCCTTTTTCCTTGGAAGTAACTTGTAGAACCTGCAAGCCTTGGAGAAGTCAATATTTTTCAGTGATAAAAAACGTGGCTAAAAGTGATATAAATCATGCATGGTTTGGGGGGAAAGAGAAGGCTCCTATCTGAGATAAGAATTCATATGTGGTACTAAGTAAGGATTAGTTAAGTATCTAGTTTTAGTAAAGCACAAAATCATTTTGAGCACTCTTGGAGCTGGTACCACTCTTGGTGTGAGCATCCACATGCAGCAGCACAATAGCACCAGCATGGAACAAAAATATCATTTAACAAGATGTGACTTAAAGCTGCAAAGTCATGCTTTTGCAGGAAGAGCTTGGCTTTAATAAGTAGATGTTGTATTCACTGCTAATTTTTGGCATCTGGAGTCAGTGTCAGCACCTTGCCTGTTCACCTCTGGCCACCTGAGCTCCAGAGCTGTTTGTTCTAATCACTAGTGAAGGTGAGTGGTGCCTTCATTTCTGATAGTAGAATGATGTGGTTTCTTACCAGGAGTGAGTGCCTGTGAACTTGGTGGTTGCTGCTCAGAGCTTGTGACAGGCTCTGTTCTCAGCACTGCAGCTCACTGGCAGTGAGAACCAAAGCCTACGGTGACAGACGCAGATTTTCCTTGACAACAAAAGCCTTCTTGTATTTTTTGCAATTAGTGTCCCAGCTGAGCTGTCTAAGATAGTTTTGGGTCTACAAGAAGAACAAAATGGAGACCTGAGTCCTTACATGCTGCAGATGCTCCCATAGAGCACAGTACAGTAGGAACTGAAATAATGAGATTTATAAATCCCTCAAAGGCAGGCTTGGCAATGGAAATCATGTCAGGGATTTAGCTACAAAAGTGCTTCTGGGAACCATTATGTAATAATGTCATAATTGTAAAACCTTTTACTGTGCATCAAGCAATAGGTTTTATTTGTTTTTAAATGGATTGAGGTCCTTAGAATTTTATTAAATTGTACCAAATTGGACTCGGTATTTCATGCATTTTATGGGCAACAAATGTCAGTGCTAATTTAAGTGGTTGCATCCATGTAAAAATTGCTGTTGTCATCTGTACTGATTAGGAATTCCCATTTCATGACTATAAAAAAAAGTGGTTTTCAGTGTTTTCCTTGCAAAGTATTGACTGGGATATAGAAAAGATAAGAACAAACAGATCAGGATTCTGGGTGAACTGAATCAATGATGGTGTTTTATAAGGTTTTCTTACCTGTAGGCTCTGCAGACTTGTTAAAAGCACAGGTTTTCTTCCTTTTTTCTATTGATGGCTCAGTAACTGTCTGAGGATGTGGAATTCAATAAAGTTTTGTTACCCTTGGCTGTGCAGGAGCCTGCATGAGACCATGTGCTGTTCCTGTGTGAACCCAAACTCTGACCTGGCATCAGAACTGGCAGTGTTACCTGCTACAATTCCAGCCCTGGTTCTCCTTCCCCCAAGCAGGAGGGTTAATCAGTTCCAAATGCACAGAAAATACATTCAGCAATTATTCAGAGACAATGTAGAGTGTCTATAAATGTTTCAGCACAAATTTTCCGCAGATGTTTTCCAGTCAGTGATTATGGAAGTGCCTAGATTAAGAATTTATGAAAGCCCCTAAAATCCTTAGATTTTTAAAAAGAAACAAATGCCATTAAAACATTCCACCACTTCTTCCAAAAGGTAGTCAGTCTGAATTTTCTACAACAACAAAGAGCATTTGTGAACATTTCTAACTTTTCTAGTTGGTTCCCAGAACTTCCACAGTCAGATCCCAGGAACAATCTGTGATTTTGAGTGACACCACATTTTACTTTTTACCACAGATGTGATACTCTGCTACAATCAAGAAAGATCCATTATGAAATTTCCAGGGGAATTGTTTAACACTATGAGTGATTTCACTTTTGCTTCCCAGTCCTCTATCCATCTCTTGCTGAGTTAAAGTATTTCTGGTACTGTTCTTTGCTTGGAATTGTATTTGCTAAACTTTAAATAATTTTTAAAAACAAAATTTGTATCAAAAGAAGTTTTCTGGTCACTGGATCAGATAGATAGAAAGAAAACAAACAGTGAGCACAGTAAGTTCTGCACAAATATATGTGCTTTAATCTCCACTGGCATGTGAAATGGAAGCTCTTGCCTTAATAGCTTCAGACTAATTGTGTCACATCCAATTTTTTTAGGCCAGACAGATTAAGTGCTTGACAAAAAGGTTTGCACAGAGGTGACTGATGCTGATTTCTAGACTGTCACCAACCATAATAAGCTCTACTAGTTAATTGTGGCCCTACAGACAGAAGTAGATATGATGCTTTCTTCTCAAGATGGTATCAGTTTCATTCCTTTCAACTTTTTTTATATTTTTTTCTCATTTTTTGTCACCAGCTACTTATTGGAATCATTTTTTTTTGATAATCACATTCCCAAAGAACTGCTAAAAATCTATCAATATTGGCAACAAGGTCCAATCCTAAGTCTAATCAAATCAGTAGAAAGAAAATTTCCTAAATTTCAGGTATTTATGGATCCAGTCTTTCCAGCAGGAATAATTATATTTTTTGTTCACATGATTCTCAAAAGTGAAGGGAAGTTACCCTCTTAGATCCAGCCCTTCAGAAAGAAGGTGAGTGGTAATAAATTCTGTGTCCATGGAGCAACCTCCAGCAGGCTGGAGAGCACCTGGGTGGCAACGATGTTAAAGGGCTTCAAAGCACATTAACAGGTGGCATCCTCACAAGTAACTAAAGGAAAATACTGCTCTTGTGCTTGCTTTTGTGGTTTCTGGTTTTCTCTCTCCTATTTTTGGGTGATATGACGTGGTGAACAAAAAAACAAGCACGATATGAGAAAAGCAGACTGTAGAAAGAGAGATTGCTTTTACTCAACTCAGATATTAAGTTTAGTAGTGTGAGCCTTCAGCCCCAAGTGCCTGTGAATTCAAGATGAGTTTACCTTGTAGATTCAGGAAAAATGTAAAATTGCATTGAGCTTGTGCCTTTGCCTTGCATTTGCTCCTGACCCAAAGATGTAAAATACTTTAAATAGCTTTTAGTCTGAATAGCAGCTCACATGAAAGTGACTCAGCATTGTCAGGTGTGTCCTGCAGATCCTGAGCACTTCACTTGGTTTGGTGAGTTGCAGGTTAATGATCTCTTTGATTCCAAATGTTCATTTAGGTCACTGGTGCTGCTCAGCAAGTGTCTGAACCGAGCCTGGGGGAGAGGAACACGACCCCGGACTTCAGCACCCAAGGTGATCGTGGCTTTGCCTTTGTCTCCTCAGAGAGGGAAGTGGGAGCCTTGAGCACACTTTCTCTTCTCTTCTGCCCTTCCTAGTGGTGAAAGAATCATTGCTTTCAGGTTATTCATGGCAAGAAGGACCTTTTCACAGAGGCTGGGGCTGGAAGTGCAGAGGAGAGTTTTTCTAGACAGAGCAAGCTCTAGTCAAGCCTTTTGAGGTGGATCTGGCAAGTGTTGTTTCTCCTCCAAGAGTGCTGCACACTCCTTGCAGCTTGTGTCCCATTGTCAGCAGCCATGGGTGGCTTCCTGACCCTCACACTCCTTCTCCAAGAGTCATTTCCTCCATGGCTTCCAGGAGCCTGAGTAGGAAGCTTCCTGCCTGAAGCACAGATGCTGGGGATGCAAGTAGATGAGTACAGTACAGGGCCTGTTTATTTAAAGTTCAAAAGTCAGTATCAAGAACAGCACAAAAATGTCTTTGCTGAAGGACACTAGAAAGAAGTAAATTACTTCAGTGTTTTTTACTTTGGCATTCTTCATCTGAGAGCTTTTGAGTTCTTATTGATAAAGGAACTTGCAGATTGCTCAATTTAAGTCAGTCTAAAGAACATGGGGAGGGAGAAGATTGGGAGGGCGGGCAAGAAGTTTTTATTTTTCTCTGAACCTCTTGTTTTGCAGTTTCTGTGGAGAGCACCTCTTTGATGGTCTCTGAGGCTGTTGATATCCCAGACCGTAGCTACTCCTCTGAAGATCTTTGTTCGCTGGAAGTTCAAGGATCTCTCCAGTCTGCAGATCTTTCTCCCTACTGCATAACCCCCAAGGGGGCTGCAGAGCAGAGCTGCAGTGCCCTGGATTGCCACCCTCACTGCAGGTTTCACAGAACTCGCTCTGAGGGCTTTCCTGATGAGGGTGACAGCTCCCACAGCCCAGCCTCTACAGACAGGTCTCAAGGACAGGAAAAGAGCTGTGCCCACGGCCGGTCCTTGGACTGTTCCTCAGGGAATTACAGCCCCTCAGAACGAGAACTGCAGAGTTCTGCTCAGGAGAGCAGTGCCACGCCGCCTTTGAAGCAGAGGAAAACCTGCTGTGTGGACTGTCACCAGCCTCCTGCCACTTTCCAGACCTCTCCCTGTTTTGGGCCAGCAAACCCTTCAGCAGGTGGCCCCGAGGCTGCTGTCCAGCAGCAGCAGCAGCGCCTCAGCAAGCCCCCAGCCCCAACCATCGTCCGCTCCAGCAGTGCCCCTGTGTCCTGCTCCTCTGCCACCGAAGGTAGGTGTGGGACAGGGCAGCAGAGCACTGGGATTGATTTGTGCAGCAACTGGTGCTGCTGGAAATTATATGCAGCGTTCCTAGAGGGTTGTCTTAGGGGTGAAAGCTTTAGCTCCATACGTATTTTCTAAATTCGAAAAAATTTAAGAATGGAAATGGAAAAATTGACAGATTGAAGTTAATTTTGGGTTTTCTAAATTTCACCATTCTTTCTGCACTGCTCAGAAAACCGTGTGTTGAGTAGCTTTTGCCACCTCTCTATTACTGTTCTACTGAGAGGCTAAACTGAGAAGTGCAGTGGCAGCTGGGGTTTATTTAGGAAACTCCTGCTGGAGCTGTCACGCTTGTTGTACAGCAGGATGTGATTCCTCAAGGTGACACTGACATTGGCAGTATTGAGGCATGTCAGAGGCAGCCACTGTGACTAGTGGCAGCTTGGGGTGTATGGTGAAAAGTTTTGAAGGACAAAGAAACGAACATGAGGCACATGACAAGATGATAAAGGAAAAGAAAATCTTTTGGCTGTCGTGGATAAGTGTCTTCTGCTATGAATCTCCTTTTAGAAAAGTAGGGAGGAGGAGATTTTAGCTGAACAGTGTATCTTCATAAAAATATGCTTGTTAGTGAAAGAGAAAGGGTTGATTTAGTAGAGAATAGTAGCAGGAATGTGGAACTGTCTAAACCATTTGAAAGGGATCTAAGCTGTTTAGAGAGATTCAGAAGGGTAACCTGGAGAAGTGGCTTGGAAGTAAAGATTAAAAGCTTTTGAAGATGTCGTGGGTTGTGCTGCTACAAGATCTGTTCACCAGGCTTTGTAAGGGATCCAGAGGAAGAATCTGGATGTGACTAACTCAGAGCAAAAGGAGACAAAATATTGAGATAACTTGTTCCATTTAGGATGATGTTTTGGTTCTATTGCACTTCTTGAATCTTTATAATATCATTTCAGAGACTTCATACTTAGCTCAATAATTGAATGTCTTTTACCTTTAGAAATGTAGCCTCTGTATCTGAGCCAGGAAAAGTGAATCTTTAATCTAGAAGTCTGCATTTATTTTATGACATTTACTCTGCTAGGACATATGTGCAATGAAGCTGCCAGTAAGCAGACAGTAAGTAGGAATTTCTGAATCCTTTCTGCTGTGTGAAAGTCAAGAAGAACAACCCTTTCTGGTCTGGATCAGGCTCTGCAAGGTTCAGAGCTGTGCTCCATGTGCTCATGGAGCAGTGTTTGCCACGGGCAGCCCTGCCCACGTGCTCCAGCTGGCTCTGGACACCTGGTGGGACAGATGCCCTCCTTTCCTTCTTAATGTGTCCTAAATACATTTATCTTCTGCAAAAGTGGCATGGAGGGACACGAGCTGGACATTACTGAGATGTAACTGGGCTTAGCAAAGACTGGAGTGAAGAGGCAGAGAAAGTTCTAGAGATGCTGACAGCCAGGGGAGGGGGAGCAAGAGCAGGGACTCGGAGGGGCTGGGTGCTGACCTGCTCTGCTGCCCACAGAGGCACTTCCTAATGAAACCCTTAAGGGAAGGACTGACTCGAGTCTCTGGTTAAGCCTAGATGTATTTCTTCATACATCTGTTTGCAAACTAGTTTGCAATATTTTACTCTGTGAAGGTTTACATTGCATCCCTTTCCTCTACTTTTTGTTGAACCTGATTTGGAAATCATAGGTAGTTCAGAAGGAGCCCAATTCTAGTGACACATTCTGGCTGTTTGTAGCAGCCCTGGAGCGTATTTTCCTAAACTGTGACAAACAGCTGAAGCTCTTTACAGTCTTTGCAAGTTTCAAAAGGCATTTGATCTGGATTTTTCATGACTGACTGCTGGTATTCACTGCAGAATTTTCAAGTATACCTACAGAATTAAATAACAGGCAAAGATAAAGGGAACCAACTGAGCTCCCTCAACCAACACACAAGAAAAAGTGCTTTGGGTTTTTTTCAGTAACATACACCTACCTTTAAAAATTGTCCTGGAGTAAAAGAACTGGTCAATTGGACATGACTTTATGAAAGACAGAGCTGTGACTACACATTGTTAATATTAATAACTGTGGATTTTGGAGAACTGAGGCTTGAGGAGCTTTGGCCATGTTCTCAAAAAGGAAAATACGGTGATCAGATTGTAGCTGGGGCTTGGGTTTTTCTTAAGACACTGCCTTTCTACTATAAGAAAAAATTACTACTTTATTTTCTGCCTCACCTCCAAGCCAATGTGAAGAAGTTTAGAAGCACAACCTTGACATTTACTGTGTAGATTTTTGTGAAATGGATTTTGAATTGCACTGTGATTGCACTGCCCATAGTTTGGAACAGAAATTATTTCACATGGGGATGGTGCATATGTACAGCAGGACAGTGACACAACAGCAATGAGATCTAATGGAACCAGTCTTTCAGGCCAATAAAAAACAGAATTCATTTGCTTCAAGCACATCTTGACCTGATGGGGTCTATATGGTATAGTCAAATAGTTCTCCCACTAAACCCTTTTAGGTAAACTTGTTTGGTTTTTTTTCTTTAAATACCTGTCATTCCTAGTGGAGAAATTATAAATGAAGGTTTAGTTTAATAGGTGCTTTTGTACTCACTCTGTACTCCCTGAAAAACATAAAAATGGTGGGTTCACATACCACTGTCAGACATGGTTCCTTCATAAAAGAAATGACTTAAAAGTCAATAGTTTGCACATTTTTTCTGCCTTTTCCCTGTAAAGTTTGTCATGGCAAAGGCAGACAAAATCAACTCCTAGCACAGATGTTTATTACAATAAATTTCATTTCTCATCAGCTGTGATAGACCATGTGGCTGTATCAGTGAAGTGCCTGAGTGATTATTGTAGTGTTTGTGTTCCAGATAATTCAGGGTCATGTCCAGTGGTGTAGTTGTGACTTGCTGCAAGTACATTTAAACTGTTTAGTAATGGATGGGAAGGCAGAACCTCTGAAGTGTCTCCTCTTAACAACCATGCCATGATTCATGTGCTACAGTACTTAAGCATAATAGAACAAATTAAAGACAGAATAGAAGCTGTCTCTCTTAATTTCTTACAGATTTGCTATGTTTTAAGCATCTTACATTTGTTTCCTTCATTTAATTATTCACTCTACCAGAGAGGATTATGCCAGCTTTTCATTATAAACTGTCCCTGGAGATATGGAAGAAAACTTCTCCTAAGCTACCTAGAAGTTCAAAACCATTTCCAATCTTGGAAACAGATTAACAAGCAAATGTGAGGATTTATTCCATCTTGTCAGAAATGAAAAAGCCTGCAGGTGGTAGTTACTGTACAGTGTGATCTCATCATCATTGATCCTCATGCTGGAATCCCAGAAAGTGTCATTAGATGGTATCCAAAGCTGTCTGTAGATGCTTCATAACCACTTGTTATTGATTGGCTTGTCAAGCACCACCCTGCTCACCCACCCATTCATTTAAACAATGATGTGTTACATTTGTACTGAAAATAACGATAATATATTTTAAAAGGAGGAGAAATATTGAATAAAAAATGCTGGGTTTGTAGAAATTAGAGGGATTCATCTTTCTCATTTTTCCCATTTTCCAATATAAACTCTGTCCACCCAGGAAATACAGAAAAGGTCTGAGGTCTGCCTCTATAGGGAGCTTGCCATAGTTTCAGCACTTAGGCCTGAAATATTTAGGATCACAGAGAAAACCATAAAGCATGAGCTCTGTCTTCCTGTTTGTATCTGTGTAACAACTCATAAGGCATCTCTGGGTGTAGTAGCTTCTCTTTATGAATGGACATCTTGAAAGCAGTAATTCTTCTGAGTGGTTTCATTCTACAAAGGAGATAATAAAAGGTTCCAGTGTATTTTTCCTTGCTTTGGACAGAGGACAGCAGGGGTTGACTTTGCTCTTTCTGTCTGCCTTTGGTTGAAGGTGATAATTGTGCCTGGACTTCTGTGTGCAGGCAGTGCCAAGGTGCAGGATTATCTCCAGCTACAGGAGAAACAGGTGAGAATTGGTTTTCTAAAGCAGAGGATGGGTTTCCTTATTTTCTTTTAAAAAAAATGAAAAGCTTCTGAGAGAGAAATGAGCTTTGAAAAATCTGGGGCAGAAAAGCCAGTTAACAGCATACATGTATGGTGTACAATGCTGATGGAACCTGAATGAAGATAAATGCTGTCAATTAGGTCCCCTGGTTTAGATCAGCATTTTTGCTTTCTCTGTGTTTCTCGCTAATCTCTCTTGCATGTAATTTCCAAGGCCTAGAAATAGGCAGAACTTTAGTCTTAAAGTTGGGGTGAGGGTCTGGGCCTAAAACTGTACGAGTTGCATGTGACACAGAGTAGCTGATGGCTTTCCTTAGCATTAATGTCACCTGAAGTCCTTAAAGGTGGAGGTAACAAAAATGTCTGGTTTGTGAAGTCCTTTAATTACCCACCCACTCGTTCTCAAGGCAGTCCTCTTGGCCATGGGAAGGTCTTACTCCTGATTACTCCTGGTTACTCCTGGTTAAAATTACCCATTTTGTACCGTTTCCTTGACTGCATGTTTTTGCTACTCTTCAACCAAACAGACATTTTATGACAAAGTAGAAACTTTGTGACAATATTTGTTTTGCCTTCTTTTTTCTTTTCTCTTTTTCTTTTTTTAAACTATTACTTTAAAGATATTCTTCCCCCCCTTTTTTAGTTCCTGTCTCTGGTTCTCATATGGCTGCCTCTGCTTGCCAGCATTCTTTGAGCAGTTTTCTACCAACTGGAAAACAGAGGGATACAAGGAAAATTGATCTGCACCTAAAGCCAAAGGCTTTTCACACAGTCTCGAAAGAGCGGCCACACTCCTTAGTGGACCTTAAGGCCTATAAAGACACAAAAATTTTAGTGGCAAAATTTTTGGAACATTCAAACTGTAATCTCCCTCCAGAAGTGCGTCACGTAGTGAACAGCATACGGTCAGTCATTAAATCTGATGAGAGACACATGGAAGAAGCCATCTTCAGTGCCAATATCATAGACCAGGTAGGCCACTGATGTTCTAAAGGTGTGTCCAGTGTCCATAGGCAAATACCTTATTTGAATGTTTGTACAGTTTAAATTCTTCAGACAATTCCTACAGAAGTTCTTTATAGTTACATGGCATTATTAAGAAATAATTTGTATTTATTGGGCAGCGATACATTTTACACTGCAGTTCAGACAGCGAGCCTGGCTGTGCTTTCCAGGTCCCCCCTCCTGAGCCCTGACCAGCTGCAAGGACAGAACAGGAGGGGTTCTGGAGGGCTGAACCTCCTTTGGAAGAGTTTCAGTGTTAGACAGCTTAAATGAAATGTTATCCAGCTTAAATGAAATGTTATGCAGCTTAAATTAAATGTTAGACAGGCTTAAATGAAATATTATCCAGAGACTGAAGCTTTTAAACGAGAACTTTTCTCACCCCGTTCTCCCCATTTTTTTCTCCTCCCCTCCTGCCTCTCCCCGCAGGTGATGACGAGCTCCCAGCAGGGCGCGGGCGGCTGCAGGAAGCGGCTGCAGGGGGGGGATCTGCACCTGCGGAGCTGCGGCGCCCTGAGCTCCGCCGCGGCCCCGGCGCGCAGCCGGACCCCGCTCAGCCGCGCCCTGGAGCGGGAGCGGCCGCACAGCCTGATCGGGGTGTGCCGGGAAACCATCCTGTGATCGGGGTGTGCCGGGAAACCATCCTGTGATCGGGGTGTCCTGGGAAACCATCCTGTGACCAGGGTGTCCCGGGAAACCATCCTGTGATCGGGGTGTCCCGGGAAACCATCCTGTGACCGGGGTGTGCCAGGAAACCATCCTGTGATCGGGGTGTCCTGGGAAACCATCCTGTGACCGGGGTGTGCCAGGAAACCATCCTGTGATAGGGGTGTGCCAGGAAACCATCCTGTGATCAGGGTGTCCTGGGAAACCATCCTGTGATCGGGGTGTCCCGGGAAACCATCCCGTGATCGGGGTGTCCTGGGAAACCATCCTGTGATCGGGGTGTCCCGGGAAACCATCCCGTGATCGGGGTGTCCTGGGAAACCATCCTGTGATAGGGGTGTCCTGGGAAACCATCCTGTGATAGGGGTGTGCCAGGAAACCATCCTGTGATCGGGGTGTCCTGGGAAACCATCCTGTGACAGGGGTGTGCCAGGAACCATCCTGTGACCAGGGTGTCCCGGGAAACCATCCTGTGATAGGGGTGTGCCAGGAAACCATCCTGTGATCCGAGTGCCCTGGGAAACCATCCTGTGATCGGGGTGTCCTGGGAAACCATCCTGTGACCAGGGTGTCCCGGGAAACCATCCTGTGATCGGGGTGTCCCAGGAAACCATCCTGTGATCGGGGTGTGCCAGGAAACCATCCTGTGATCCGAGTGCCCTGGGAAACCATCCTGTGATCGGGGTGCCCTGGGAAACCATCCTGTGATCGGGGTGCCCTGGGAAACCATCCTGTGATCCGAGTGCCCCGGGAAAGCATCCTCTGAGAGGGTCCACAGGTATGTCATGGCAGCTGAGAGCTGTGGAAGAAACCAGGACTGGGACAAACACAACTAGTGGATGACTTTAAAAGGAAAAAGTATCTTCTTTTGGAATTCCACTTTTTTCCCCACAGCAGGATGAGAACGGCTGTTTTTCTGAATGTAAATTTCAGCCTTGATTTTTGCAAACTTTTAATTGATTTATTAGTAAAGTCATAACAAGTGTTTTCCCAACCAGAAATGCATTTATTTCACTGTACTTATAGAAATGCTACTGATGCTGCCCAGCATTTCTTGAAAACCATTGCAAACCCACCAGAGACTGGCTGTACAACTTAAAAGTTGTATTTATTTAATGTACCTCAAAGTGTTTTAACTATCGTCAGTGTTTTAATAAAAAAATATTTCTGGACTTTGCCTTTTCAACACTGATTTGGATACAAACATAAAGGTGATTTATACACATACACAGTGCCCTTCTAATCCATTCTTCCAGTGTCTGTCATTCCAGACTAACTGATCTATCCAATTAACACTGCTCCCCCTCCCAGGGCTGCCCTTTTAAGCTGCAGTACTGGCTGCAGTGTGGTTTATTCCTGCTCTGTTCTGAATGTTCACCACTTCAGTCCTGCAAGTAGTGTGTGACCAAGAGCTGATGGTAAATCCCCTCAAGTGTGTGACCAAAAGATGCATTAGGGAAGAAGACTGAAATTCTGCATTTTTCACAAACTTTTTACCAACAGCAACTGATTGGAAGTTAAAAGAATTTTTATCTAGCCGAGCCTTGAGTATTTTCAAAAAGAATTGTTACTCCAATTCATAGTTTTGACAATTTTATTACTAAAACATGTTATTGTGGTTCTGCTGTGTTTATGATTTACTTAACATTGATCTTTAAAAAAATATTAAAAAGTAAATATTGACACTGATTTCATTACCAGCATAAACACAGGTCTGCCAGCAACATCTTCCAGTGCAAGCTTCATCCTGGCTCTTTCAGAGGAAATTGGAAAGGCCTTAAAGAGAAGGTTCTCATAAGAACCTACCACAGGTTGATGTTTCGGGATTTTAATTTTTTTGCAGCAGTGCTTGTCAGTAGCCTTAGTTTCCATTTGAGGTTTAATCATATACTGGTTTCATTTGTGTCACTCTGAGCTGGGCAGACACCCTGTGAAAAGGTCACAAAGGAATGTAGCTGAAGATGGGTAGTTTAAGTTTTACAGATTCATCCATTTTAATGTATTTTAATTATAGCATGCTTCTGTATTGATGTGAAGTTACAGTGACATCCAGTGGCAACAAGGTATGCTAATTGAAAGCTTCTACTCTCAAGATCATAATGATACACAAATTCCTAATTCAAGAGAATTTTTCCTCAAAAAAAAAAATCTGTGACCTTTGCAACTGCACTTAGATGAAGAATTAAATGATCTTCTACTTGGAATTTTTTACTATGTAAAGTTACACGACAAACAAAATAAGCAAGCTTCCTTATTTCAGATTTATTAGTGATAGGTTAATTCTTTCCTAAGGTCAGTTGCATGCAACACACTACTCCTTGAAGTACAGTCATCTAAAGCTCTTTAGTTACTGCATGGTAAGGCTTCTTAAGTCACAGTGTATTTTCTTCAAGGCCTTGGCCAAAAGAAAAAAAAAATAGACAAAGTTACACCAATTAACATTTATCTCATAAGGAATACAACTTTACTACTAGGTTTTTTATCTACACACATTCTAATACTGCTGATGGTGCTAGGTTATTTGTCAAAACAATTTACATTCAGAACACATTGCCTTAGGAATAAGAATGCTTTATAAAAGACAGAAACAGGTAAGCATGGCTTTCCCATTTTGAGCTATTATGGACAAAAAGGTAATATGCAAAATATATGCAAAAATGAAAGAAAAACAAAACCCAGCCCAACACATACATTACACAACCTGTGCAATAAGTTATCCATGAAACAACTCTGTTAAATCATAAAAATCACAAGCATTAAAAATAAATATGTATCTAAATAAATATTTTGATTTTAATCTTGTGGCAATTATTCTTTATTTAGCATATGAAACACTTGTTACATGTTTATGTTCACACCTTGCCAAACAGGTTACACTTGTCATAACAATACCAAGTACTACAGTGGTTTTCTTTACAGTAGAGTCTAAAAGTTTGAACTGCACACATTCCTTTCCACTGAAATACCATCAATTCAGCACCAGTTTTAAAATTATGCAAAGTCATCAGTATTGGACTACTTTATGGGACTGGGATTTTTTTTTTAACTTGAGGCAGCCAGAACTTTCTCTAATTGCTTCTCTTTGCCTTCTCCTTCAGTCTCATTCATCAAATATTCACGTTCACTGTGTTATCAAACAAGACAGACATACATCACTCCACATAAAGGTTACAAATAAATATGGTTTAAGTTCTATGAGAAAAGAGTTTAGAAGATGTTCAAAATACTTAAATGTTTACAAAGATTTTTGTCAGTGATTATTGTCCTTGACCATCCTTCTGAACACTTTTTGTCAAAGAAATAGAAAGGAAGGAGAGAAAAGGCAGAGACACCTGTCTGTTCCTTGTTCTGGAGTCCTCAGGTCAGCTTCCAAGCCTTTCATTCATACAAAATACAAAATTCTCTTCAGTTAGGACAGCTTCAGCTTGGATGGAAGATGTTAGATGTACAGGGGGGTCTCTTGACCTGTTAGGAGCCTGAACATGGCAGCTGGCATAGTCTTCATGTGAATCTGTCAATTGATTACACAGACATTAGTAGAGCTGGTACTAGTTTAAAATAATCCAGAAGGCCCCATCTGTGTCTCCCTGTGGTCAAAGTGCATTTTTTTGTCCTGGCTTTTATAGATTTTTTTTCCTAGAGTTTCTAGTTCAAAGTTCTCTGGTTTTAGGATGCTGGTTTGCTGTCTTTGCTTTTTTTTCATGTGGTTTGGGGTTTTTTGTTTAGTTTTGTTTTGTTTTTTAATTATTCATTAATGTTAACTACATGATGTGACATCATATAGTTTTAAAAGCCACCTAAACACTTTTTGTTGATATACTCTGCTCCAATTACAGTAAAATTTACAGACCTTAAATAAGAAGTAGCACAAATATCTCTGAAAATTCATTCTGCTGTTCTGGTATTAATGGAACTTAGATTTGTATTCTGTCTTCCTCTCTGTGGGAATGTCATTTCATATTTTCACCTAATTACAGTATGATTTTCTGAACCCAGAACTTGGACTTTGCCACCAGATGTTCAAATGCCAATCAAGAGTTTGGTGGAACAGTTTCTCCTATGGCTAATGTACTTCAGTTCCTCCTCAAGGAGTCCTGGGGCTCCAGTGCCAGAGGATTTCACAGACTGACAGAGTCCAAGGCTCAGGTAATCAGGTCTCCACCAGAACTGGACTTACAGCCCTAAGTATCTACTGGACAACACAAGAGGAAGAAAGGGAAACTTTACTGACTGGTAATACAGACCCTGACCAGCTGCCTTGGTATCTTCTCTTCACACTGTAAAGAAGAAAAGTTTCATGCTGTTTTCCTATGATAGGTGAGAAGTTACACAGTGAAGGGGGACCATGGAGGGGCTGTTGGAATTTACAGCTTTGCTCCTGACAGTGCACATACTCTATTATGATTTGTCAGGTATCATTTTCCAGGAGGAAACCAGCTGTCTCTAATTTCTGTCAGAGGAACTAGTGGGAGATCTGGCCAGGGTTCTGTATTTAGACTACCATTAAATTCAGGAGGGATTTGGAAAAACTGGACAATCTTGCTTATTCATTGCTGATCTCACTAGAAGTACTGGAGAGTGGTGTCTTAACTTACTTCCAAGGTAAGTTGGAAATTAAATTATTACAATGTATATCAGTTTGCATCTTTCAGACATAGTAATTAGTTTCTATGGAAGATGCTGTAGTGATAAGAGACATCTTCACAGCCAATATCCCTGAGTGGTTTCTTCCTTTAATCACTTGATTTAATTCAGACAGTAGGTTGAAGGTATAGAATTATGCCAAGAATTCTTAAAAATGAATAGAAAAATGCAGTGAATGTGCATCATTACTTGTTAAAAAAACCCAACTGTTAATTGTTTCTTATTAGTACCAAACTTAATTTACTGAATTGGTGATTTTAATGCTGTGTTGACACTCTTTTCCACTGAACCATACATTCTTTCCACTATTT